TGTTGGTCACTTAATTAAACCCCTAGTTTTCCAACGTTTCGGAACTTAATTGTTTAGTAATCATTGTGTAGTAATTATTTACTGATGAATTCGAATTTGTTAAAGTATATTTTTATTATTTATGGTACTGACTTTACTTGTGTTTGCTGTACACTTTTGTGAAGGGGGCATGGATAAAAGCTTGGCGAGCAGGCCTTCACTCATTTCGTTACGCCTTCTGCCCTAAGACTTCGATTTTTTAAAAGTGGCCGATGACATTAGGCCATTGTTACACCTCATGCCTTATAAAATGAATGATAATCATATTTTTAAGGCCTCGAGCCACGTTGAGGACGTTCGAGTATTAATTAAAAATATTTATTTTATAAGTAGGCCACGGATTCTTTGGCAAAAATGGGGTGCTTTAGGTACCAAAAATTGGTAAGGAAATTATGAAATTAGGCACCATTACCCATGAAAAGTGATGTTTTAGGCACTTAAAATAGCTTACAAAATAATTATACCAAGCGATTAAAAATCAATAGAAATGAAAGGTTATGTTTCTGGTATCTAAAACTGATCATAAAGGACTGAATTAGGCACTCTTTATTTATCAGGAAAGAAAAGTATTTTTACATTTATGATAGTGACTACAAGCATATTATTATTCACTTTCATTTATTTCCATTTCATTCTCTCTTTCACACTTTCCATTCTCAACCTGTCAACTGCGCAGCTGCACCGGGCAATTGCCTAAGAAGTGCGAGCTGATCGGAGGCGAGCGTTAATCATCCTTTTTATGTTGACTTCCTGAGTTCTTTATTTATGTTTGGTGTGTTGGGAGAGAGATTTCTGTGCATAGACGATTCTATCAGAGAATATTAACGTTTCGGGAAATTTGGGAACGTCTTTGCGTTTCGGTAAAACAAATTTCAAGAGAGAGTAATTAAAATATGATAATTCATCAATTACTTGTTTTGTGCAGATTTAGGCTAAGAAATAATGAAATGAGCATCAACCGCCGTTTTAGGACATTTTAGGTACAATTAGAAGCTTTCAGAAGATGTAATTTTTCACGATTCGCAAACATCTGTAATTACTTTTCACAGGAACTAACCATCCATCAGGAACTAACATCCGAGGTCTACTTACAAGGCAGGGGGTGTAACAATGAGCCAATGTCCTCGGACACATTAGAGACATGGAAGTAAGTCGTGCGCTCGGGCGGGTTGGCAGCGTCGAATTGCGGTAGGGCCGGCAGTCGCCGACGAGCGGAGCAGATCAGGCCGGAGGGAGGGAAGGGGGCGAGCGGTGGCATTGCATTGGTCACTGCTGTCGACTTCCAGGCCGGGGGTCCACGAAGCCCCCAGCTCCCCCAGTGCAAGCGAGAGTCGCGCATCCGCCCTTTAAATGGCCGTCAGCGCTCGGCGAACGGCCCGGGCAGGCCGACGCCCATAGCCAACTTCTCAAACATCCATGTATATTAGCTTGATCGTCACCGTAATGACGTCACTCTAGTGACACAAACCCCCTGTTGGATGAAACCGTCAACAGCTGTTTTGCTTCAAATGCAGCTCTAAATATATCCAAGAACGTAGTGCGATTTATTTAGTCGTGCTCGTGACGTAAATCGGCTGTTGCGGTTTCATCCAATCGGGAGATTATATGTCGTTACAGTGACGTCGCAATGGGGACTTTCAAATCCCCGATTGGATAAAACCATGAACAGCTGATTTACGTCAAATTCACTGTTAAATAAATCCTAACATAGTAGGGAGTTTTTGCATGTCATAGCGAGCAGCATAGTCCAACTGCTGCGCATGCGCAGTTGACGTTTCGCATCGCTTTCGTGCGCCTCCGCATGCGCAGGAGATCGACAGTGCTATCCGCTGTGGCAGCAATCGTCTGCAATCTCGAACTGCGCATGCGCAGAGGATCGCTGGTGCTGTCGATTGCTTTAACGTTAGAGAGTGCGAAACGCCCTGTTGTCCCTTGAAGGTCACGAGCAGGAATGAGACGGGGACACTGTTACCCAATCGGAAGCTTTAATTCGCAAGTTTAGGGCGTAACGAAGCTCCTGGTTTGACCCTACCCTTGTAGCTCGTGACCTTGAAGAGACACTTGTGTTTAAAACGGAGTGTATAGAAACGTCGATGTTTAACATTGATGTATTAAAGTCGATGTTTTCTAACGTCGATGTTTTGTGCTCGTGTTTTTTGAATGAAAAAGTATCGTTATCAGAATTTTGTAAATGTTTAAGTATGAAATAATAATTGATGGTAGCACTGTCAGATTATGGGTTCGAACAAAACGAGCGCAGTTCGAACAAAACGTGTATTAACTTCATCGAACAGACTTATCCCTTTCGTCTGAGATGGCCCCGTTGCCCTGTTTTTTCCTACGTCATTCTTTTTATTTCGCTTTTTTAAACTTTGTTTTCACTCAAATCTTAATTATTAATTAATAAACTAGGCCACTGTCTTATTAAATTTTGTTGCGTCCGAATCTAATGGTAGAGATTACTAAACCAGCTTTAAAACATCGGTAGTTTTTCGTCAATGTTTTCATTTTGAACATCGATGATCAGTGTTGTAACTAATTGTAAAATGGCTGAGCACTGCGTGCTCCACAATTTATTTGCCATCCATGAGCCGCAAACGTAACTGAACAGACAGTATTTCCAGCAAGCCCAACTTTGCAGCAAAACTAGAGTGTGTGATGCATGTAAGTGCAAGCGTGTGTAAGAAAGGAGTAAGGGAATGACAAGGAAGATGAAGGAAAGATCGCGCGCTGTCCGTGGCCCGTTTGTGAGGGTACTGCTCCGGCATTCGCCTGGTGTTGATCTTAACCATCACAGCCGGGAAGAGCTCTAAGCTTCCCACCGGTCTCCCATCTTGTGTGGAGTGTGGTGCATGCTAGTGTAAGGGGAGAGGGTAGGACAAGGAAGAGGAAGGAAAGATCGCGCGCTGTCCGTGGCCCGTTTGCTAGGGGACTGCTCCGTCATTCGCCTGGGCATTGATTTTCCAGTATTGCAGATTTCCAACAAGGCTTCAAAATATCTTGTGGCTGGTGTTGTAATTAATACCCTCATTTCTACCCATCCACCCTAATTTCTACCCGCATTTCCCCGAGCCTGCGTTCAAGAAAAATTGTGGGTGGTTCAATTCGCTCTATAGCAAAGCTCCATGCCATATATCTATTCTTTGTGCATCATCTGTCTCTCATTGTTGGCGAGGTCGCTGCTTCGTCGAATACTTGTATCGGTTCGTGGTTAATAAGTGTGGTTAAGTGAAGAAATATTTAATATTCTAATTGAATATTGATTTTGTACGTGTGCAGTCGTGTCTTTTTGACGAACATCTACCGGGAAATCGGCATGAAATTTCCCTCTATTATTGCAAGTTATGACACTTTGACGCTTATGGTAAGCCTTGATGAGTTTCTTAGAATATTTCAACATTGTTATAGAGAAATATTACAGCAGACAAAACTGTGGTGTAGGACTATATGTTTTATGTATTTATTTTTATTGACTTAAATGAAAATTAATAGTTAAGTTTTAAAAAAACATACAAATGCATGGATGGCGTATGAGCTAACGCTTATAACTAAATTAAAAACTAATTTAGAACTAAAAATAAGGGTTGACAGAAGTATTAGACACCTTCTTAATTAACATCATGATCTGACATTCAAAAAATATCGATTACATTTTTGTTTTTTTAATTTTTGTTGTTTGTGTTGGTTTGTTAGCCAGGATGAATACACACACATTTGGCACATGTGAAAGAGTTGGTTACAAACAATTATTGTTCTTAGAAAATTATTTTGAATTACTTAAATCTTTTGAAGATAACCTTCGCAGCAATAATCAAAATTGGCCTGGAGCAGGCTGTAGTTATAGATTGAAATATTCTTAAAGCTGAATTTAATGGTAATGGATTATTGTAATTATTCAAAGATTGAAGGAGTCATTTTGCGGTCAAAAAAGTTTTTCTTGATATTTTATTTTTTGTATATTTTCATAATTTCTCTTTAAATCTCTTTAAACAGCCGTCAGTTGATTCTTCAGTATCATGGACCCGAAAACCATGAATTCTGTCTATACATGTTAGAGGAACTAATTCATTATGTAGAGTAACAGGATTTATTCACTCTTTCGTTTCCAGGGCCGAAAAAAAAAAAGGTTTTCTGTCGAAACTTCGCCGTTTTCCGGCCACGATTACAATACTTTCTCTTCTCACGTAGAAAAGGCGAAAAAGTGAAAATTCGACGCTTCTCCGTCCCATGGCGCCGCGAGTGGCACAGGTCGCTCCAAATTGTGTCTCGTGGACGCCGCTGTTTTCAGTATGGGGTCGAGAGCTTGCACCAGTCCAAAGGAAAAGCTTCTTCGTGAATGTTGACTTGCACAATCCCCAATTGTATGTGAAATTAAACTGATTACTTGATATTCTATGGGATTTAATTGCGCATATGTTTGGTAATGAAGTTAAATAAGAGTAGTTTCTATCGATAAGTCTGTATGATGCTGTTACGTGAAAATACGTTCAGTTAGTACAATATTACGTGGGGACAGAAAAAGCGGCGAGAGGATAAGAGAGGAGGACCTTGAAGAAAAAGATATATTACGAACTTAATATGGAAATGAAACGATAGAGAAGACGGTGGGGCTTAAGATGCGAGATTTCTCGCACGGATATGCTAGTCTGTCTATAACATTGAATAAACCTTATTGAAAATTTATACAGCATTGTAGGCTTATTGAAAATTTGTTTCAAACGTCCATCACGTTGTTCTCTATTTTTGTTTGATATTCTGTAAGTACATTCGAAAATACAAATATTACTTTGTTGCAAAAATTGTACTTTGTACAAATTTTTAACAAATAAACCCCATTTGTTGATAACTTTCCCTCTTCATATGGAAATGGAAGGATCAGGGAAGAGGGTGGGGTTCGCTAGACTCTGTCAAAAGCTGTGGTTGAGAGGCCTGCGAGTGACGTGATTGGATGACGGTTTCAGACCTTCACCGCGTGGTGCAACTCGCACCTGCGCAAGGCCGGCACGGGCATCGAGAGCATCGAGGAGGACTTCCGCAACGGCCTCAAGCTGATGCTGCTGCTCGAGGTGATCTCGGGCGAGACGCTGCCCAAGCCCGACAGGGGCAAGATGCGCTTCCACAAGATCGCCAACGTCAACAAGGCGCTCGACTTCATCGCCTCCAAGGGCGTCAAGCTCGTCTCCATCGGCGCCGAGGGTAGGCCCCCCGCCACCCCCCACCCCCCGCCCACTTCTCCAGCAACTTCGCACCTCCCGACTTACGCCCACCCCCTCCATCACTCGCCCTCATCGACCCCTCCAGTCCTGCAACACTCCAATCACTCGCCACCACCTCCATCACTCGCACCATCGTCAATCACTCGCCACCGCTCCATCACTCGCACCGCTCCATCACTCGCACCACCACCCTGACATCACTTCGACACCCCATCACTCCACACCACCCGGCGACATCACTCGCCACACGGGAACACCGCACCCCCCGCAACACTGACACCGCAAACTCCCACATCGCCCCAACTTCGCACCCCACCCCGACATCCACACTCACACGACACCCGCGCAACACCCCGACAACACTCGCAGCACCACCCCGACATACACTGCGCCACCACCCGGACATCACTCGCCACTACCACCGGCAATCACTCGCACCCCCAAACACTCGACCACCACCCGACACCACTCGCACCACCACCCCGAATCACTCGCAACCACCACCCTGACATTCCCTCGCACGCACCACCCGAACATCACTCGCACCACCCCGGCAACACTCGCACCTCCCGACTACGCTCGCACCCCTCCATCACGCCCGCACCACCCCGACATCACTCGCACCACTCCATTACTCGCACCACTCCATCACTCGCACCACCCCGACAACACTCGCACCACACCCTACATACTCCTATCATCCCATGCAACACAATAATATAAATAATATTTTAAGAATCTATTTATGCATTGTTCAAAACAAACTGCCAATGACATCTATTATTGCTGTCGATGCCTAGACTGAAAGATTTCTTTTAATGGTTTTCCCAAAATATCTCACTTTATTATAATGTTAACAAAATGTATTTTATATATCATGGGCAGATGTAAAGACTTTTTATGTTTGGATCAATCCATTTCAAGTGGTCCAGAATACAATAAATTGGTCTCTCGATAATCTCGAAAAATGAAGGTGTTTTTGAACAGCCGATACATAAGGAAATATATGCTCAAAATATGAGTGTATTCGGGATAATCAAACGTCTAATGCTGCACCACTTAAATTGGATTGACCCATTTGATAAAGATAATTTTCAACATTTTATTTTCACGTGACCAACCAATAAAATATAACTAATTTAAGTACTGTAATTAAACCCTAAATAGGATGGGACATGCACTCCTTTTTTTTCATATTTAAAACGTGGATGTTTTGGAAAATGTTTGAGCGATGTGTCGATGTGTGTGTTTGCAGAAATCGTGGACGGCAACCTGAAGATGACGCTGGGCATGATCTGGACCATCATCCTGCGCTTCGCCATCCAGGACATCAGCGTGGAGGAGATGACGGCCAAGGAGGGGCTGCTGCTGTGGTGCCAGCGCAAGACGGCGCCCTACAAGAACGTCAACGTGCAGAACTTCCACCTCAGCTTCAAGGACGGCCTCGCCTTCTGCGCGCTCATTCACCGGTGAGCGGCCCCCCCTCCCCCCACCCCCACCNNCCCCCCCCAGCCACCCACACGCGCTCAGGCCATCAACTCACTCAATGCGGGCCACGGACCGCGTGCGATCTCTCCCACCTCTTCCTTGTCCTGTCCTCCCTCTTTACTTACATCCACTGCACTACCACACATGCCGGGAGACCGGTCGGGAGCTTAGAGCTTGTCCCGGCTGAGGCGGTGCCCCGTTGGTAGGAGATACTTGGCCGGGGAAAATCCTCGCAAGCCGTCGTAGATCGGCGCCGGATCTCGCCATCCAGCGGCGGAACGTCACCGTCGCCTCCCGCAAAAAAGTGCGCACTTCACTTACGGGACTAATGCGTTTAGCGGTTAACGCCCCTGAAATCATCAGTCAGTCGACTAGTGGTCCTCCGCGCTACGGCCCGCCCGCGTCTTCTCCACGTCATGTCTCCTCGCGCCGCGTTGCTCTGCCTGGGGTTGCGACATCGATGCCCATAGTTTCAAAATATCGACGTGTCTTTAAAAACATCGGTAATTTAAACATCGATGTATTGAAGCCGATGTTTCTTTTAACATGAATATTTTGTGCTCAATATTTACGTTTTCGCTTATTTGTTCCAGGAAGAAAACTTCTACTATCATATATTTCTAAAAATTAAAATATGAAATGATAACTGATGGTACCACTGCCAATATGTGTTCAAACGCTGTTTGTACTGTCGTCAACGAGCAGTGCATCTTTCGCCGGTGATGATCCTGATGTCCTGGTATTTCCTTCCGAAATTCCTCGTACTTCTCACGGAGAAAGATTTTCAACTTTTTCGTTTAAATTTTGATTATGTATTATTTTACACGGCCATTGTCAAATTAAATTGTTTCGCACGAATTTAATGTTAGAGATTACTAAACGAGTTCTAAAACATCGATGTTTAGATACATCGATGGTTTTTATTCGATGTTTTATTATGATGATAGACGATTTGATGTGAATGTCGTATCACTAGCTCTACCACCTCCGGCTCGGCCATAACCAGCTTCAGTTCGCCCCGGTGCAACGCAAGCCCTATATACATTCGTGTGTTGCAGGTTGCATTGAACCGAATTTTGTTTAAACGTGTTTGGAGTAACATATTTGAATCAGTAGCCCAGCTAATTTGATTCCTTGCGCCCAAAAGCATTTGTTCGAGCAATCACTACGATGGCTCAATAGTTTTCGTGGTTCATACATACACACACGCACACACGCACGCGTGTACATCAGCTTTTGAGAGCAAGTGCGCCTCACCTCTGTGCATGTTCATTTCTGCCACTTGTTAATTTGCATCTCCAAGAAAGATGGTCAATTGGGTAAGCTGTTGTAAGCTTCACAGAAAATTGAAAGATGATTACACCTTGAGATGGTGATTACCATAGCTCGGATTCTTATGACCTAAATATTCTTTGAAAGTGACCTATAAAATGATTTCAGAATAAGGCAAAAATGACCTAAGTTTTTTTAAAATACTCCAAAATGTTTATTCAATGAAGTTTTGAATTTTAAATAAAATTTGTTGAAAATATATATAATAAAAAGTCTTTATTTTAAGAGGAAATATAGTCCTTATCTCCAACCTTCAACAGTCAGTTTTGAAAGCTTGAGGAAGATACTGAAGATCCATGTAATTTTTAGAGTTCAGGAAACAGAGTCCACTGCAGTAGTGAATTTTGTTAAGAACCTAAGATACAATAAAGTTTGTTTAAGTATGTTGTTGTAGATTTACGAAACATTCAGTAACAAGAAGCACAAAAGGGAAACAAAATGTGTAAAAATTATGTAAAAAAAAATACCTAAATATTGAAAAATGGCAAAAATTACCCAATAATTATATATTTCTATGACCTATATGTCGTAATGAATATTCACTTACAAGTTAGCAACGCCTAGAATCTAATGAAAAGATTGTATGTCATCAGAATCTGAGCCCTGGTGATTACACTGTTCCTGTAGATTACTTTTTAATCCATAGAGGCCTTTTCACATAGTTCACATTAAGTAAAGATAAAAAGTTATAATATAAACTGTTTCAAGATTTTGTGTAGCCTGAGAGTTCCCAAGTTCCTGAATATCTAGCGAAACCATAGATGCTACCCACAATGTGCAACACTGCATAGTTGTGTTTCAATTTATGCTTGGGTTGAAAATTGGTTATATAAAGGAGTTTTGTACGCCTTAGCGGGCAGCAATTGACTGCAATCTCAATCTTCTGTGCATGCACAAATGCGCAAAAGTTATACGCAACTTGAACTACGCTTGCATGGAAGATTGATATTGCTGTCGATTGCTTTTATGTTCGAGAGTGCAAAAAATCCCTAGAGATTGTTACCTCAAATACTAACATAACTGTACCTGCAACTTTCACATTAACTGATGAATTTTCGTTTTGTTTGTGTAGACATCGGCCAGATCTCATTGATTACCATAAGCTGAGCAAGGACAATCCTCTGGAGAATCTCAACACAGCCTTCGATGTTGCGGAGAAGTACTTGGACATCCCGCGCATGTTGGACCCTGATGGTGAGAGCTGCAAAGACTTACATAGTGCTATTAGTATCTCTCAAGTTACCTTACATGTGGTCAGGACTGGTTTTGTTTACAAATAAAAAAGGGGTTGTGAAGGGTCTTCAAGTTAGGGCTCCCATGGCCCAGAAAATATCATGAAATATTCCAAAAAAAGTCATGTTTGTGTCTGTAATGTAATTTATATTATATAAATAATTGAAAATGTGCATATGTGTGTCGCACATAAATTCAAAATCTACTAGACCAATTTAGCTGAAATGTTTACACTTTGTTCTTATTATTAATGGGTGTGCTTTAAGGGTGGTTTGAATTAAATTGGAAATGTGGGGGCATTGTTGACGATGATTTTTTCATTTATTACTACTTTAGCATATCCAAATTGGAGGGAGAACATTGTAACAGGAAGATATTTGACAACCATGGCCAAACCAGGACGGAGAACAAACTCTTACTTGCGAGAAAGTCTTTAATGTATTTGTTTTGCACAGCGAAGTGTAAAACGTGATTAATAATCACATGACCTGTGGTGTGATGTGTAATACATTGTAATAACAGGTCCACTGTATTAAAAAGAGATTCTTTTATAATTAGCATTATAAATTAAATTTGGAGGTTATTTTTTCCCCTTCTTTTCTTTTCTGGAGGGAATCTCATCATAACTTTGTGCTTGGGGACCCCTCTGTAACTAAATCTGGCCCTCTGTGTCGTAACTGTCTGATTGTATTTTCTTGTATTTGCAGACCACTTGTGCATATAAGCAGAATTTTGTGGAAGTTTTATACATTTGAGTTTGACTTTACATTTTTTTGTGATTTAAATTTCATAATAGTATATATAAAGAAAATTAAGTTGATAGTTATTCTATGAAACAATGTATATTCCTTAAAAACAACTACGTTGTTTTGCTCAATTTGCAGCTCATCTTCTGTGCCATTGTCACGTTTTGATCCGATTATTTCAATAAATAATATAGTTCAGAAATTCAACAACACAAAAATGTCAACTTAGAGGATTACGTAATTTATTTGTCTCTGCCATTATGGTATCTTTGATTGCAATCTTATTCTTATTTTCATCATCTTATGATTTTTTATTCAACCTCTCAAATTGTTTATTCTGAGACTTAACATTTGTTTATTTATTCTAATGATTTTTAATGTGTTTAACTTTTCAAGCAGTGTCATTCACACACACAAGTAATCAGTACAGTTTGCTAATATATTTTACAACTATGCTAGGTTAAGTTATCTCTGAGGACTTTCAAGAGGTGGAATAGTTTGGTCATGTGTTGAATTTTAGTGGGTCTTAAAAAACACAACACCTCAAATGATGGTGTAAAGGTTTGTGTAGCAGACTGTTATACCCAAGTTCATGTGTTCATACCCGATCGAAGCCAGGAATTTTTAAAGGCAAAAAAATCCTTTGTACACATTCCTACAAAGGAAAAGTAAATTCGGCTGACCCATGCCATAGATTTACTACTTGTAAAGGATTCTACAAGAAGCCTCTGAGCTAAATTCACATTGCCCGTTTCATCGCCCAAGTAATACCTTCTTTCTTCGCTAGATGATGATAGGAGCATAGCGAAATTTGCGTGGTCAGACAGAAGAGCAGGCCTCCTGACCTGAGTCTCACCACATAAAATAAGGCATCATTGAATTGAATTGCTTATCGTTTGGCTAACCGCGTACTGTTTTGACAGACCTTATCAACACCCCGAAGCCGGACGAGAGGGCCATCATGACATACGTGTCTTGCTACTACCACGCCTTCCAGGGTGCCCAACAGGTAAAAAGGCCCTGATGTTGTGCCGTGCCGTCCCTTCCCATTGACAGCATGTCCGCTGCAGTGTGACTTTTGTTGTGCGAGTGTGTTTGTGTGTGTGCTAACTTACAGTGTATTTACATAAACGGGCATACAGCTTTTAGGTGTTTCTATAAAACTTTAGGAAATGTGTTCATCAATTCACTTTTGTTTAACATGTTACAGGAAAATATTTATATTTTACGATGCACTGTAGTGTAGGGGAACCTAGCATTTTGGGCAAACCTCTTTAATGCTCACTTTTTTTGAAACTGGATTTGTTAAACATTACTAATTACCTTCAACCTTAAATGCCTCTCTAAACACATTTGTTCCAGGAAACTAAAAGTGTCCAAATTGAACAGATTTCCCTGTTCATGTGCAATAATATAAGTTAAGTTTTAATTGAAGTGATTCAGTATACTTTGAATTTCACTAAAAATGCATTTCTATGTATTACCCCAACTTAAAACATTTAGCAATACTTTCTCATCTAGAACTTTTAATTTATTTTTCTGTAATATTTTATTTGTTCTGGAGATGTTCCTTCTGTGTACAAACTATCAGTTCGTAGAACAATCCGTTCCATTATTGTGCATTCTTTGCTGCTATTTAATATTTTAATGATTTTCTTTTTGTCTTTTAAGAGTGACCTCATACTCTCATTTTAATTATGTAATTGATTAATTTGCCTCTCTTAATAATATATTTATACTTGCTGCAATTTTCTCTCAAAAGCCTTCAAATACCTCAAATCTTTGATACATAATTACAGCAGTGATGTGTAAATATAATTATTATTTTTATTGTTAATTAAATATTTTGTTCAAGTGCTGAGGAAATAGCAAACGACCTTCTCTCAGCACAACTTTTCACTTCTAATGCCCAGTAATTCAAAAAACGTATCTATTAGCTGTATGTTAGCGACTGTGAATATTAGTGTGAGTGTGTGTGTGAGGATGTATCCGTTGCATTTTAGCTAACCTGTTTTGCATGGCCTAAAGCGTTCTATTTACAGGAATTGCAGGAAAACGCCTGACATTGCTGGCGCAATTAGCTGATGATGCGCTGGTCATCTGCCGACTGTGTACAATTTGCCTGCTAGTTTGCTGCTGCTGTATGTTTGCGTGCATTTGTGTGCTAATCTGAGCTAAAAATCTCCTGTTGCATGACAGATCTCCAGAACACAGCGAAGCCTGATGAACGTGTAGTCATGACATACGTTTCATCGTACTACCATTGCTTCTCGGGTGCCCAAAAGGTGCGTTGGCCATCCTGTGATCGTCTGTTAAGACAGCTTTCCTTTCTTTCTACTGAGTATCCACCTTTAAAGGAGAAAAACTGCAGAATTGCTTTTTAAGGAGTGACCTACAGCATAAGTAAAAACTGATAATGAGAAAATACTTTCCTGTTATAAATTATTCATAGTTTTAGATTGCAAACTGAAAATATGTAGGTAAGAATTAACTTGCACTTGTTAACTACAAATAGGTGTTTTCTTCAGAAAACTTCTTGCAAAAGAAACAAACCTTTTCTCCCTTAATCTCAATGTTGTTGATCATTCATTGTAATTTTAAAACTTACTTTTATGATGTCATTCTTATGCTTATTGGGATGAGATACTTCATATGAGTTTCTGCATTCATGTTAGAGATTTTGTTACATTTTAGAGAATTGATTAGTAAGGTATGCGTGACCAAATTTTTTTCTAGAGAATTCAAAAATTAACACGTTATTTTGTTTTTTTAACACCCATAAACATTAGCCTTTCATCTATTCATTTTTAACTATAATTTTACTAAGTAATGTTTTTATATTAAATGTCTTCAAAGCTGTGCTTGTAAATTTTGTATACTAACTATTCAATAAAACCCCCTTTTTTTAAAAATTTTGTAGATGTAAAATAAAAAAAGTTGTGGAGTAAAAAAAAAATACTTTCTCAGAATTCTCAGATTTATTTATATTCTACATTTGTTAGAGGGAATTGCTTTAAGATTTTAATTACTTTGTGGAAACGTTTTTTAATATTGATGTAAAATAAATTGTAAATACAGAATATGCTATATGTACACTTTATACATATGTAAAGATAGAAATGTTTATGGAAGATCAGTGTAAATAATTATCTTCTCTGTCATTAGCTGTTATTGTAGAATTAGTAATACTTCTTGCTGTTGAAGTCTATGTATGAGCAGTTTTAGTAAAGCACTTTACACCAAGCACAAATGTTTGGTAAAAAATATTTTTTTAAAATTGTTTTACAAGTTAATATGCAAGTTGATTCATTCAGGTCAAAAACTTCTAATTTTATTTGAATTCACAGACAATATGGACAACAATTTTCAAAATAATAAAAATTTACAAAGTAGCTCTGATAGTTTAGTTTACAAACAAAATGAAAAAAAACAAAATTATAATTTAGTATGACTGTGAGCAGACATAGTACATATATAAAAAACTTTATTAAATATGAAATAAAAAGAAATAAACAAATTCTCAATTGAATCTACAACTACGTCTACATTTCAACTACATCTTGACATATCGAATAAAAATATTATTAAAAAAAACAAACAATACTTTCTTATGAAAATTGCTAACAATTTCTTTTCATTCAAAAAACTGTTTCTATTTTCAGGCGGAAACTGCTGCTAATCGCATCTGCAAAGTTTTGAAGGTGAACCAGGAGAACGAGAGGTTGATGGAAGAGTATGAACGTCTAGCCAGTGACGTAAGTGTGCAACAAGAAGAAATGAAGTGAACTTCTCATGAAATCTTTCAATGTATCAAAAATCAATATTTATTATGAAGCAGTGGCATGGTTTTAACACACTGACTGCCACATCAGCTATACATGACAATTGACACTAACTAGGCCATGACAAACAAATACAACTGACAGTCCTCAATTTAGATAGTCTGTGTCAGTCCTGTAGACTGATGTATGCAATTTTACGTAGCACAGAGGAAGATTGGCCCCTTATGTATGTGTCAGCAAAATATTTCACAGCTAATCCTATGAACAAGAAAAATTCAACACTTTCAGGGATACACATTTTATTATGTATTTTAGGCCATATGAAACGCACAAAGTAGTTGAAATAAATTGAATAATATGAAACATCTGTTACATATTATCAAAAGGATTAATTTTTCTACTTCCTATTCAGTTTTGTAATGATCAGACACACTGATGTTAGCAATCAAGTTAGTGGATGTTAATTTGTTTTATATTTTCTCTTGTAATTGCTCTTTCTACAATTTCCTATAAATAGGCATTGCAGAATACACAGAGTGCCTCATTTGTGTTGGTGTTCCGGTCCACTTTTTTTGCTAACACATGCACGTTATGGAAATATGGAGAGTCAGACAAGCTTGTAAGTCACGGCCCTGCAATGAAGCAATGTTACCAAGAGGCCATGTCAGCCTCATATGGGTGACATATGTGTGACAGTCAATGTGTTAAAGACATCCTTAATTGCATGTTTACAGCTGATGCAAAATAAAATAATGTTATACTGTTATAGATTCGGGAATTATGAAATGTTTTCGAGTTTGTTCTTAGTTACAAGCATTGCTCAGGAATAGATAATTCTCAGGTGCCTGTATTTCATGAACTGATGAAAACAAAACAGATTTGTGGTAATAAAAGGGATTTGCTGTGAAATCGGTTTTAAGAGATCATTAATGGTTCTGGGCAAAAACTGGTCATTAATGTAGGTGTCTGCTGCTAATTGAAGGTTATGATGGGACTTGAGACCAAACTTTAAAAAATGCTATTGGTAGTGAAATATGTTTGTCTTTTTATTTACAACTAAAATACAAAATACTGAAATTTTTTTCCATGTGCATACATAAACTATTTGACGCTCTGATTTTGCACTCTTTCTAAGACTGCTATGTAGTTGCCATTCGTAGGCTTGATTCCCAACTAGGCTTGAAGTTTTAATCCACATCCTCAGGAAATATGAGTGTAGATTAAAATTATTTATTTATTTAATAAGATAGACAGGCTTTGACGCAATTAGGTCCATGATCTATTTACAATACACATAGTGTGGTGGCAATTATTGCTGTTATTTGAAACAAAAATTAAGTTATTTGAAAAAAATCAATCAGGACATGAGAAAATGCTGGTTGAGGAGATGTTGCGTAATCTAAGTGGCAATTTCAACAGGTATTACTGATCTGTTTGTTACCTGTAATGTAATGTCTGTATCAATTACTATACTTCTGTTTTGGGGTCAGTGGCCCTGATCTTGATCAGTTTTATCTAGATTCCTTTTAATTCATTAATAAATACTGAGATGACCCCTTGTTTTGCTTCTGGAAATACAGCTTCACTAAGCATGTTTTGTTGAGGGCTTCTTTTGCTAGTTGAGGTAGGGGTAGAGCCACAACTAGCTAAACTCTGAGTTACTATTTTGGTAGCAATGCAAAAAAATTTAATCTGTGGTCTGCTTGCTGATGCAAATATGTTTTCTATTTCTTAGGAATGAAACGGTCTAGTTTTCAATTCATGCTAACTTTACTTTGCTAGGTTTTTTATTCGTCTTTCAACTGTGAATAGTAAAAGTGACAAAAAGAGATTCTGAAGCTCAAGAATATATCTGCAAATTACACTTCTCTTTCATGTATCACATGTAGTTTTTTTTTTTTATTTTTATTTTTTTTTATTTTTATTTTTTTTTTTTTTATATAATGAAAATAAATCGAATCGAAGTTCGAAGTCGAATCGAATTGTATACCTGATTGTAGCTGCTGGAGTGGATCCGACGCACCATGCCATGGCTCAACAGCCGCCAGACTGACAACTCATTGGCTGGTGTACAGAAGAAATTGGAAGAGTACCGTACTTACCGCCGCAAGCACAAGCCCCCTCGCGTTGAGCAGAAGGCCAAGTTGGAAACCAACTTCAACACTCTTCAGACCAAGCTGCGTCTCTCCAACAGACCGGCCTACATGCCCACCGAGGGCAAGATGGTTTCGGTATGTGCAGTGCGATAGCTTATATATAAAGCAGTGCGTTAGCTATATATATTTTTCCTTCTAAGAATTAATCTTATTTTGAGCCGCATAAACTGCTAAAGTGATTTGCTACTACAAAACTTTTACATTGTTGATTTCTAATTTCTACATTTCATAATAGTTTTATATCAGTAGATGAACAGTTTAAAAGTTAATAATATAGAACAATATACAATAAATTAATTGCACACACAAATAATGAGAGAATGAGGAATAGTCAATTATACAATTTGTTACATTGCATCCTATGTATTAAATTTTTTGAATGAACAGTAAAGAAGTACTTAATTTGTTTCTAAATCTTCTTGGCTTTTAAATCACATTTCTTTTTTTATTATATATAATATGACTTTTGGTATTATCTTTACTTCAGGTTGCATTAACAACAATGTTATTAGTGACACTATACATTTTAGATATTGTAGTTCAACAAAAACACTTTTTAAAATTACTGATTGCATTTTATCAAATACATTTATAGCCGTTATAAATTCTACTGTTTTATATTTTTCTCTGACCCCTGTGTGATAACTTGTAAGGCAGTGATTACATATGCTTCTGAGATATTCATCTTGCAAAGTGATAAAGATCTATTTCCCACGGAGGTCCTTCATGAAAACACTTGGTCAAAATTTTGGAAAATTACCTTGAAATAAGAAATATCAAGATAGCGCTTTAAGTACCAGTAAATAGAATTAACATTTCTATTAATAACATGAAAACAAAGGATAAACATTAATTACTAGTATTATGAAACATTCAATTACAAAAGTGAAGCAATGAAATGGTATAACAAAAGTTACAAAATTTAGTCTTTTTTATGAAATGATATTGTTACATGATCCTTACAACACAATTAACTCTTAATATCACTGATTGACTGCAAATCTATAATATCTTGAGACTACTATAGTATTAAATGCTAATAATAATTTCCACAATTATGACAGACTGTCACTCAAGAAATTTTAACTATCTTAATTATGGCTTGGTTATTAACTGGCTTAATTATGAAGTACGTTTTTTATATGATTTAGTAATATTTTCATGGTAAGAAGATATTTTATTTTTTAATTTGATAATCTATTTGTCACTTCATTTGTATTCAAAAGAACTGAAATTTTTAAAGTAGACTAAGCAAAAGAAAAGTTGTATATTGCTTACACCTCATTGTTACTGGTTTTAAATTCAGATGTTTGTGCCAATACATTTTGAGACCCTGAAATTATAAATAGCAGATAAAATTTCATTTTGAAGTCTGTAAATTGTACTGATGTTTTGTTTATGAATCATTAGCCTCGTCAATCTATAGGTTTTTCTCAGTTTTCTTCTTAATGTCGCGTCCTCATCATTCTTAACCCAAAGGACATGATAGGAAACTTATGTCTGCTATTTTTTCAGGACATCGCCAATGCATGGAAAGGCTTGGAGACTGCAGAAAAGGCATTTGAGGAATGGCTCCTGGCTGAGATGATGAGGTTAGATGTTTATTCATTCAGTCAATCTATCAATCAATCAAAAAGACAGGCAATCGCTTTATTACAAAATTGATTAAAAACAAGGTACTTGCGATAATGTAAAACAATAAAAAATAATATTAATTATAATAATTTAATAGTTTAATTTCAATAAACAAAATATGAACAATATTCAGTCTGTACCAACTGTCATGATAAAATATTTAAAATCCTGTTATATATAATTTCTTGCTTTATGTATAAATTAATTCTCAGAGCTTATCATTAGATCAATGTTAATTTCAATGTGCCACTTGTTTATAATAATTGAACATGTAAATTTTTTTAGGTAAACGAAAGTTTGCCATGGTTACGGCTGTAGTGACCACACTACAGTGTTTAGTGTGACTTTTACCATTGTGTCTTTCACAATGAAATTAGAGCAAAGCAGGTTTAAATGCATTTGTTTACAAAATCTGAACTCTAATGACATGATGAATTTGGAAGCACTTTCAGTTATAAAGACATTATCTTGGATGGATGTTGTGATGTATATTACCATGACAGATGCTGAAAAGTGCTCACAATACAATTTTAGTGTATTGACGTTATTTAATGTAGATTATGTATTTTTCACATTGTTCAAAGCTTCTATTTTAATTTCACAATACATTTGTAGTTTCAATTTCCTTTAAATAGCCCTGTTTGAATTGCTGTTTCTTCATTCGATATAGCAGTGTTTTGAGGGAATGAAGAATTTCTGCATGGCTATATTTCTGATAAGAACAAAGTCATTTTTCACAGACCACTTAGGATCTCTTGTAGTTATTCACCACAAATAAAAAAATAATTCTTTCTTCTTACATTCCTAAAAGAAATTGTTTTTTGAATTAAGTGTACATAGTGAAGCACTAGTCTTTACACAATGGACTCAGTAGAACACTGGCATAGTTCTGAAATAATTATAGTTTTACCTAAACTTCCCTCATACAACTCAGTACATTTTAAAACTTTTAAACAGTACACTTACACATAAGTCCTTACTGGATTTAAGTAATATTACACTAAAAGAATAATATTTGAAGTTTTGTATAATGCTAATGACTCATTTTCACAAAAATTGTGGGATAGCCCCTTAATCTAGTGGAGCCCTTCAATCCGTTTAGCACAACGATGGTTTTGGGTTCATCATGTGCATTTCATGTAGGTGATGTGTACATCAGTATTTGCTTGTTCTGCACATCAGGTTGGAGCGCCTGGAGCACTTGGCCCAGAAGTTCAAGCACAAGGCTGACGCGCACGAGGAGTGGACCACAGGCAAAGAGGAGTTGCTGCAGTCACAAGACTTCCGCCAGTGCAGGCTGAACGAGCTCAAGGCCCTCAAGAAGAAGCACGAGGCCTTTGAGAGTGACCTTGCTGCACACCAGGACCGCGTGGAACAAATCGCTGCCATCGCTCAGGAACTTAAGTGAGTGTTTATCATCTTCCATAACTATGATACATTTTGGCTGATAGATGATTTTTTCATCCAATTCTAAAATGGTTGAGCATTGCTGAAGACCATTTCATTTTGTAAAATATGTTTTCCTACCACCCATATGGGCTGGGGTGCGAGCTATTCATACCTCAGTGTCAGTTCATTGCCTGCAGTTGAAGGTGAGGGATAGTTTTCACAACTGATCTATATTTTTCCAATATTGGGTCATATGAATAAAAATGAGCACTTGCTCCTGAATACTTGCTCTGGAGCAAAGTGAGTGTACTCCGCGGCAATGAGCAGAGGCTCCATTTCATATGAATAAAAACTTTGTATGTCTCCGAAGAACTTACTCGTGTCTCGCAAGCATTTGCTCGTCGTGAACAAGTGATAGTGCAGGCTAGGAGTTTTAAAAATTGGGTTCTTGAGCAACAAGGAGGTTACATACGTTATGCGCGTCACGCACATTTGTGCGGAATAAAGAGAAATAGTTTGTTGTCTCATTCTTTAAATTCGAATATGAATAGCAGTAACGAAAAACAGGCGCTAGTGGCCCAGCTAATTTTTACTGAAATGCTAAGTGAATATAAAATTATTTTTGAAAAGAGCCAGCTTTCAGAAGTACGCTGTGACCGAAACTAAACATTACAAAGTTTCAAAAAACAGTATCCCGAAAAATTCCAAGTAGAAAAGAGCAATGGCCAATTAACAAGAAGGCAATATGAAAACGCACCTGGAAGCAAAGGCCGATAAAAATCGTACCAACCATACATTGAACTTTTGGATTCGACAAAGATTCTAATAGTCTACATCATGAGAATTTCGCCTAATCTTGAATTTTTTTAGTTCGCTGCATATGCATATCAACACACGGTAAAAAATCGGCCAATTTAACCTTACTTTTCAAACGTGAGTCTGCTACTAAGGTCCCTCCGAAATTTTGGAGCAAGTGCTCACTCTAGAGAGTTAATGCTTAACTTTATTCATACCAATTCTGAGCATTTGCTCGCCAATTGAGAGTACGCTCAGAGTTGAAGCAAGTACTCAGAGACTGAGCAATTGCTTACCCACTTTATTCATACGAAACTGAGTAAGATCTCAGAAACTCGGAGCAAAGAGTACTTGCTTACTTTTATTCATACCACCCATTGTCTATAATAATAATAATATTGTAAGAATTGGTACAAATCATGTTAAAAAGCTGCTGAAAATATTTATAGGTGTAAATTAAGTCATCAAATGGTTTTAAACAGTTATCCGAAGTTTGTGAAATAAATGTGAATAATTTCTTCACGTTAATCACAAACCACACTGCCCCATTTGGTTTGACATAATGAGCGTACAATGTGCTGACTATGTGGGGAGGGGGTTTATATCTATGTATCAGCTGAAACGGAAAGTGCATACACTATGTTGTATAATTAGATGGAAATTTTCTTGAAGTGCAGCGTTTATGCTTATTGTATGTTATATGTTCTGTATTATATTATCTTTTCATACAATTGGATAACTGTCCATAAGTTAATAAACTAAACAAAAATAAAATAATATCAATTAATAAAATATTCATAAAATAATAGCAATTCATAACACTGGCAGCAATGCAAATATCAGGTAGTGTGTAGCTATTTGCCCTATGACAGTGGTTCTCAAGATTTCATAACAATAGCACACACCTGTCTTTGCAAGAGCTGTACTGGGCTTGTGGAATTCCTCGGATCATTTATCCTCTCAGAATTCCACTAGGTACGCCCACAGAAACTCTTCCTCTGGCTCAATGCCCATCTGCCCACGAGTGGAGTTGGCATGACCCCCAGACACTGCGATATGACTCATCCACATACCGGCTCTCTCGTGGGCCAGGGGTGTCATGGGCTGTTGGTGTCCTGATGGTTGGGCAATTCATTTTTTCTTTCTTTCCAAACATATAAAAACAAATTTATTTCTAATTGAAATTTAAAAACACTCTCAAAGTTATTTTTGTTGCATGAAGAGATGAATTGTAAATTGATTGTGTGATATTTGATTCTCTGAACATTTTATGGAGTTGTTTTATCACCAGTATATCAAACAAAGGGTTAAATTATAGATTCATTAAGGGATCTGGACTCAAAAAGTAAAAAAAAATAAATTAAAATGCAAAAGGGCCATTTGCAATACAACTATCCGCAAAAAGGCTTTTTTCAAAAACCAAATAAAGTTCTTTGACATTTATTTGTATGAATATGTCAATAACTAGATTTTTTTTCATATTACAAAAGAAAATCATTACTTTTGCAGTGATAAAATCCTTCACTTTCTCATTGGCCATATTCTGTTTAAATCTCATTGAACCTTAAATCATATATTTACAAATTCGTTTCAAAGACAACTCTTGTCCTAATGCATTAATTTGGTAAGAAATGTAGAAAGAACATCAATAAATGTTTTAGGTGACAATAGATATACAATATGAACAAAATAAAATGGTTTATCTCCATGAGTTAGTATGTATGATTTTTTTTATTTTAAAAAATCAGTAATTTATGATATCCAAAAAATAATGTAGTGTAAAAAATCTTTAGATATTTTCTTGTTAAGTTACATTCCTGGTTCATTTTTTACTTACAATATTGTTCTACGTCCATTTAAGAACCTGAAGGGAAAAAAATTACAAATAAAAAAAAATATTAGTTCATTAGTGAAAAGAAAAGAAATAAAGAAGAAGAAAAAAAGAAAAGAAAAAAAAAAAGAAGAAGAAGAAACCACGACAATTTTTTTTAAATTTGAAAACCCAATTTTCATAATTGGAATAAAGGGTAAAAAAGAAATTTTGATGAATTTTAAATAGTTGTATGTACCCTTTAAATATTCTCCATGATATCGTATTACAAACTGGCAATGGATGTGGACTAGTTGGCACCTCTTGGGCCGAGGGACGTAGAGAGAGGAAGAAGAGTGCTCTGTTCTTGTCTGCATGGCTGTTTGCCAACGCTCGACCTGAAACTGCCTCTGCTGTGGTGTGATTCTCTTGCATCATCAAGAAGGTTTCTGGCTCGTGTAGCAATGTTGTTTCATAACTTGAGTTCCTGGCTGTACTTTTCTCCCTCTTGAATGTCTCTGAATAAATGATACACACTTCTAGGGCCTGTAGAGGGGTTGAAAGTGAACACCATTTGCCTGCGTTCATTGGTACATATGGTGAAAAAATTCATAAAACAAAGTTTGGTTTATCAAGAATTAAGAAAGCAAAATAGAAATTTATGGTTTTCACCATTTTTATAAAAAAGAATCCTACAACAATAAGGTACAAAAGCTTCTCTCTTTCTCCCAACTTAAAGTATATTTGGAACACTAATCTTTGCTTTGCAACATTAGTAACATTAATTTTTATAATCTTTACTAGTTCAGGAAAAATGACTGGTTATTGCCCAACAAACTATGAATAACCAGTATACAAAGTGTCTCAGAATTAATGACACAAACTTCTCTGTCATGTGGAGGGATAAAAAAAAAAAATCATTTTTTGCGTGTGAATTTGTTATGTGAAATTCCTTGTAATGGAAATACACTTGTGATATTCCCCTGCCTCTGAACGTTAGGCATCCACAGGTTGCAGGTTCATGAATTCATGACTGCCAGATCGTGACCTCCCAAATGTGTGTACATAAGGAGTTGTCTAACATTCAGGAGCTGTTATATGAAATAGTCTACTACATGTTCATTGGCAAAAAGTTATTGTTTGTGTTATTTATTCTGAGACACTTTGTATATTGGCAAATTATTAGTTCACAAATGTCAAGCAATATCTTTCCTTTTTTATTGAACTAGTAAAGATTATAAAAATATGTTACTAGTGTTGCAAAACAAAGGATAGTGTACCAAATACACTTCATGTGGGGAGAAAGAAATACCTTTTATTTTCAGAATTATTTTTTATACAGTTGTTCAAAACTGTCTATTTCTAATTTCTTTTCTTAATTCTTGATAAATCCAAATCTAAATAAAAATATTGCAATCATTTAAATTCAAAATTGCAATTTTGTAACTAAATATAATTATTAATTTAGATTATAAATTCTGTTATTTGCTTATAAAATCAATTTGGCTCTGGGGTCCATGAAAAATGTGATATTTCATCATTAATGATCTTACATTTCATGTATAAAATGAAAGGAATTTTTTGGAGATATTAAACCTAATTAGTATTGTATAGAAGTAATCAAATTTTTTGGCAAATCTATTGCTTGTAAGCAGATTAAAGTTCTAATGAAAGTGTAAATAATTCAATTTATCTTTTGTGTGTATTATATCACTGCATATTCCTGTATCTCATGTAGTATGTTACCACTGAATATGTGTTAAAATACAACAATTGAAGGAATTGTGCGCAATAGTGGTGTAACCTCCAAAAACTAAAAACAGTTATTGACATTTGTTATCTAAGAAGGTGAACTATCTTTGTACATTGTTGCTTTGACCAGTTTTCCCTTTATTAAGTTAAGAATGAAGTCCCTATTTTTTTCTCTTCACAACTGTTTCTAACCATAAGTGTGTAACTTTTCTTGATTTTTCTCTAGTTTTTTAATTCTTAAATGTAGCTTAGAGCACAGTTGCGCGGATTCCTTTCATTAAATCTGCAAGTTCTTAACATTAAAAAATGTTCTTTAAAAAGTAACAAAATAAGATTTTATGTCGTTTAGAACCAGAGATTTTTATAAACCATTATACAGATGACCAATAAATTCATAAAGAGCTTGCTTGTTCATTGAAATTACTTTATTTCATAGCACCTTGGAATACCACGATGCAGCTTCTGTGAACGCCCGCTGCCAGCGCATTTGCGACCAGTGGGATCGCCTGGGATCGCTGACCCAGCGACGACGTGGTGCCCTGGAAGAAGCGGAGAAGATTCTGGAGAAGATCGACATTTTGCATTTGGAGTTCGCGAAGCGCGCTGCTCCTTTCAACAACTGGTTGGACGGCACCAGGGAGGATCTGGTGGACATGTTCATTGTCCACACCATGGAGGAAATTCAGGTTCGAGATTTTTTTATTTATTTATTTACTCAAGGCAGCAGCAAACAAGCTGATATACACATATCTTACAGTAATGTATCAAATCATCAGTTATTACAGTTGATATCATTTATCACAGTCATCAAGCTTTCCAAATCACAGCCATCACCATTACATCACATCACAGCTGACATTGCTGCTCTTTCATTCATTTGGTTCCAAAAGACAATTGTTCAAACTATTCGTGAATGAATTTAAGGTCTTCTCAACACAGCTTTCAGGGAGTGCAGTCCATTTATGTACAACACTATATACAATAAAACAGGATAAATTACTTTCTTCCTACTTCTTTCACAGCTTCAAGTTATGTCTTCTGAATCTCTGATCTGGAGCTCTTGTAGTCTCAGAATGGAGAACATTGTGGAACCAATGCAGGATCTTGTAGGATTGTTTTTCTCCTCTGTTCCATGGTGGTTAATGCGCCCATTACATGAAGGAATAATCATGTTGGATGATTAAGAGCTCCTTAAATATTGATCTTTAGTTACTGTTCTTTATAATGAATTGTTTTATGAAAGATGGAAAGGAAGTGGAAAAGAATTGATGAGGAGGAATGAAACATAATGTTTCTCAAACTTTTCAATAAATAAATGGTCAACCTAATTTTTCATTATCTTACAATTTTTGTAAATTATATATGTGATAAATTAATTCATTTTCAATATCTTTCAGGGGATATCATCCTATTGATTTAAATTTGAGGTATTTTGAAAGACCTCTTGACCTTTTTCAATTCCAGAAGAAAACTGACTGATGTCTGAAAACCAAATTGCATTAGTGTATTCTTAGTTTGACCATGTAATTGCTACATTTCTGCCTTTAATACAGCTAACCCATTCTTTATACAATAAGTAAATCAAAATATGCTATGAATGCACTTTCCAAAAAAAAAATATGATTGTGAATAATCACCAAACTTATGACAATTTAACAAAAACTACAATATGCGTTATCTTAGTTTTCTTCATTAAGGTAATTGACATAGATAGCTGCTGTGGATATATGTGAAAGAAATTAAGTACCCACTGTCCTTTTGCAGGGCCTCATTGATGCCCATGGGCAGTTCAAGGCTACCCTTGGAGAGGCCGATAAGGAGTTCAATGCCATTGTTGGACTGGTACGCGAGGTCGAAGCTACTGCTTCCAAATACCAGGTTCCTGGAGGCCTCAACAACCCGTACACCACTCTCACAGCCAACGTGAGTATTTAAAGACAACTTTCTGGTTATAACTTTAGTAGTTGGGGCCAGAACTCGACTATTTTGAGCCCAGAAATGAAATTCAGGAATCTGCCCTCATCCACTTACTAAAAGGGAAGAAAAATACAGAAGAAAAAATGCAGAACCATTTGGAATAGATGATAATAATAAAAAAATAATAGGAAAACAGTTTAGAAGTATTTTTGAAAGTGTGTAATCTTGTCTAAAACCAAATTTCGCACCAGCACCTAGTGCGCAGCATTGGTTCAGAACGTAATTGTTCCACAGATGCTGCAACTGACTAAGGAGGGAAAGGGGGAATATGCTTTTTTGGACCAAGTACAAACCAACAGTTTATAATTCACATTAATTAATTATTTTTGAAGTCTGATAATTATGTACACAATTTCAGTTATTTGGATTCAAACCTCTGCAATCAAGAGACTCAAAATAGCTTCTATAGTGCTCAAAATGATGTGAAAATTTTCATAAGGTTCAAAATATTTTCATTAGAGTAACGTACATAAATTGAAAACGTATGGTGATTCTGGTAATATTTGTATTTTTTAAGGAATCATATTGAATATGACACCTAATAAGATGTCATTGTTAGTCAAGCATTTATAATTATCTGACTCAGCAAAGATTCATGTTCAGGTTTAAAATTCTCTCGTGGATTGTGTAGTTTTCAAGAACACATATGTATTACCTATTTTTCACTCTTGCAAAAACATTCTTTTGTAACTTTTTATATTATTGTAACTATTTATATTAATTTTATATTTGATAATGAAACTTTGTTTATTGCTTTCTTGGATGGGTTTTGAAGAATAGTTTTTGAAAATTAACAATCTATAAGGTTACGATAAAATTATGCATTCATGGAAACTTTTCAAAGCTTAACTGATTTTTAAATAAAATCTTCCACAATCTTGTTGTGTATAGGAGTAGACGTCGGATTTTTGGCTCTTAAATGTCGTGTATTAGGCATCTTGAAGAGGCTCTTAAACAAAGAAAATATATTGTTTAATTTCTCAGGTAGGTAGTATAAATTGATATGAAAATAACTTTTAACATGCATTTTATTTTGCTTAAAGCTCTTTTATTAAAAAAAAGACTAATTTTTTTTAAAATTTATGTATACTGTTAACAATGCAGCTACAATGTTAGCTCAGTTTTGTCTTGATGTATTAAGGGGAACACCGAAATACAAATGCTAGGACAGCTTTTCTCACTCAGAATTATTTTATCAGCATAAAATGAATAAAATGATTTTTCCATTTCAACACTAGTGACTGGTGTTTATTTTAATGTTTGAGAAGTAGATGTTAGTGTTAGATGTCACCCTTTTTCAAATTGGAGCACAGCCAGAGTAATTTGGTACTTTTGTTTAATTTACATATTAGATTGAACACTTTTAAAGTTTAGGTTTTTACATGATGACTAGACATTTTTAGGCCCTGTAATGGAGGTTCGTTGAAATCATAAAGTGATAAAATCTGTTGTAAGTTAATTTTGAGTATTTACATCAAAAGAGTCAAGGAATTGGCTAAAAATCCGAAGTCTAATCTTGAGTGTAGTTTGGCAGTTGGGCTGATGTGAGCCATTTTCTGCCTTGCTAACGAGGATCGGGGGGAAGCAAGTTGCAGGTAGGTGGCAGCCCTGCTGGTGGGTGCACTGTATTCCATGTCAAGCAAAAATGACACAAAAGATGTTGATGTTGTCCGTTCGGTCATGTGAGCAATTTTGTTGACACTCATTGATGGCAAACAAAATTGGAAAGTGTAGTGTGTGGTTAACTCGTAGAAAATTTTCATGTTTATCTCACAAACATCGACTTGCTGGAGCTGAAGTCATCTTACTACCTATTGTTCTTGTCGTTCCATTCGCCAACTGGAGAATGTTCCCATGATATCAATAAATTTATATTGTTATTAAACAAGAAAAGTACACTTTAAAACTTCCTTTTAATGGACTTCTATTTGCATGTGTAATTCTGTCATTAAAATTTAGTAAATTGTGAGTAAAATTAAAAGCGTGATCAAAATAAACAAGCAGACTTTTTGAAATTCAGTATTTATGGTCTCTATTAACATCCTTATGATGACTTAACTCATATGCATAAAATATACATTTTGATCTGCTTTTTGACATGGTTTCTATTAGTTCTTACAATATTTTTATTAGTGCCAGTATTGAAACTATTGTAAATCACTCATGAAAACTGTCTCTAATCTCTTAACTACACACTCTAAACCGACATTTTGATGCCTAACAGTTGGCACACCAGCCTATATAGCTTGCAGAAGAATACATTTCATAGAGCAATGTGGTGTTTGAACATTCTCAACTGTTTTAAAACCTGTCAAAAAAGTTGTGTACTGACCTTAATGGACCATACCCAAAAATACCTTTCTCACTGTACATAATATATTTTTTAACAGAGGCATTGCAATTGTACACTTGGGTTCAAAATAATATTGTATTTCGAAGCAAACTTACACTTTTAGAAAATGCAGATCCCTCCTTTTTTATGTTTGCTGTTCTTCCTCTTTAAAATTTTGTGTGTAATAAACTTAGTATGTTTTTATACTTCTCTGGAATATAAAAAAAAAAAAAAGATTTTTTTCTATTGTTGATATAGTGTTGTAACTCAGGAGAAAGTGTTGTAATTGAGTAGAAATGATGCATAATTGCATTGCCTTTGCATGAGAAAAATAAGTGATGAAGAAATGTGTTAAGAGAGAATGTGTGAATAGAAGATGAGTACTTACACATGACCTGTTTGATCCCAAGAAACTCAAAATGCACCCTGGAATGTGAATGTCAGTTGGAATACAGTGTGTTTAGTTTTGCACCAGAAACCATGCCACAAAAAAATCCTGTAGTATGTATGTCTGGTTGTTTCTGGTTGTCAGAGATTTGGAAGAGGTAAGATGCATTTAGTGTGTTAGAAAGTAGAATAGAAGAGAGAACATGCTAGAATTACAATTGACTTCAACATTTTGGATTATTTTGCAAATCATTGTACAAAGTTCTATTTTCTTACATTCATGTTAATTGAACTTTCATGATGTACAGAGTTCAGATTCTGATTACATGTCATCTTTTCATTGGTGCATTTTAAACATAGCTAACATTTAACTGAATGTTTATCACGATGTATAGGTGATAAAAATGTATAGTTAATGAGTCATTTTTAGCCACATTTTCATTCTTAGATCGTTTTTCTGAACCTTAGTGTCATTTTTACACATCCTTTTTTAACATTTTTGTTAGTGAATGTTTTATTGAATTTACAATGGCACGCTCAAACAAAGTTTTTATTTTATCAGTTCATGATGAAATTCACTACCGCCATGAACTCTGCTTTCCAGATCTTTGGAAACTTCCTCGATCTTTCAAAACTGGCTGTTGGAAGATCAAAGCTCAGGATTACATTTTTTCCTAAAGCAAAGATTAAAGTATAATTTTATACAAATAAATCTTATTTAAAATTCTAAAAAAATCATTGAATAAATAAACTTATTCATACAAATTTTTTAGTATTTTGAAACAATTAGGTAATTTTTTCCTCATTTTAAGTCTTTTTCCTTTCATATGTAAGTAATTTTTTAGGTCATCGGAATCAATGCTTTGACGATGTGTAAAAGGTAAAAGCTAGTTAAGACTGCTAAAGTAAACATTACCTTTGTGCTGAGTTGAGTGTGAAGGTAGTTCCACAGAGCTCTGTATAATATACCCTTTGTGTCTTTTTATGTCTACACATGTAAATAAAACAGAAAACTTCTTGTTGTTTATTAAATGTGACAGTATTCACCTTCCAGTCAACCATGTTAGGTGCATGCAATCTGCATTATGTGAACTTTTCCTGAAAGATCTTGTGTATCTGATTTCATTCTGATGGTTTGTGCATCCTAAATTCCTCAATTAGTCAGAGAAAGAGTTCTGAATCACTTTTGTTTTGCCTGAAAATACAAAATGCATTAGTTGAAATAAATAATGATGTTCCATGGACCAATGCTTATAATAGTGTAGTTGATTTAAAAATAGATTCTTGTGCTGTAACTGCTTAAAAATTATCAAGAGTCAACTTTGACTCAACCTAATGTTTTGGCCCTAACACGTTGCCTTGTGAATATGACCTTTGTGCAGAGTCTGGTGTTAAGGAGGAACTTAAAATGAAGTGTTGTGTGGTTTTAGGAGCTGACGCGCAAGTGGACAGAGGTGCGGCAGCTGGTTCCCCAGAGGGACCAGACCCTGCAGAACGAGCTTCGCAAGCAGCAAAGTATCCTTTTGATCCTAACAGGGAATGTAGAATTTGTGGTAGGACTCTGTGCACTCGGCTGATGTCACAGAGAGGAAGGTTGGTTTCACCGAATGCTGTCTCAAAAACATTGACTTTGTAGAGTTTCAACTAGCAGCCTCCCCAGTATACACAAAATTGCATTCACATTTTGTGTTAAAACATCTAAAATAAAATGATAAAAATTACTAAAGCAGGCACAACAAATTTCTGGGCGCGTACAATCTTTAGTTCCTCACATTGGAACTACCCTGTTATTACTTTCTCGTTACTGCTTATGCAGTAGAGAGAAAGTTATGTAATGCTGTGTGAAACAACAGTGAATTTTCGGCAGAAAAACTCTTTTCACAGGGCTGTGGCAACAAGAAAGTGGATAAATCCAGTCGCTAAATTTAAAAAAATCCTCTATCAAGTGGTGTAGCCAGAATCCATGTTTTGTGGGTCCTAAATTATAAAAAATCGACTGACTGCAAAAGTCTGCCTGTCTGTTTTTCCGTCGATCTATCCATCCATCTGTGGACAAAGCTAGCACATAAACTATTCAATCGATAACAGTAATATTGATAATATAGGTAACAGTAAAATTGATAAAAGCTCAAATATGCCTCTTTATAAGAACAGCGCACATAGAGTGTGAATTTGCAAGTATATGTAGGCAATGAAACTGCATGCAGAACCTGAGAATGGTGTAATTTCATTATACCCAGTCAATCAGTTCTATGCAGCTCTAATAGTGTTAGTAGGGCCACCATTGGCAATTAACTAAGGAAGTGTGTTGCTACTTTGCTGTTCTGGAGATGCCACATCCTAGGCTGAGGTGCCAATGTCTCAGCCGCCATTCTGCGACCAGCCTGAAGACCTGGCTGAAATGCCTTGGGCAGTTTGCCCTGAAGGAGGTCGCAGAATGGGGGCCAAAATGGTGGCATTTGTGCCTAGGACGTGGTGTCTCCCAGTCAGCCAAGAAGCAATTGACTTCAGCCATGGAATCTTACGCTCTTAAGAAAATCTGTTCCCAACATTTTCTACTTTATACTGTATTCTGTCATTATTGCAGTTTGTGGTTTGCAGTTGACATGTATTTGAGTCATTTGTGGAGAGAAAAGTCCTTAACAGAGCCCAGACAACGAGATGGTTCGCCGGCAGTTTGCCGAGAAGGCCAACGGTGTGGGGCCATGGATCGAGCGGCAGATGGACGCTGTCACTGCCATCGGCATGGGTCTGCAGGGCTCGTTGGAAGACCAGCTGCTGCGGCTGCGTGAATACGAACAGGCTGTGTACGCATACAAGCCACATATTGAGGAGCTGGAGAAGATTCACCAGGCTGTACAGGAAGGCATGATCTTTGAGAACAGGTAAGGAACAGAAAATTCCAACCAGAGGGTCTCAATTGAATGCAAGTTGATGAACAGTGCCAGACTTAGCAAAGAATTTGGCAAGTTCTTATTGATACAATTTTAAAAGTATATTGTCAAGGGGTGAATGATTAGGAAATTGTAGTAAAATAAGGCAATTTGATATTACTATAGTAAGATATGGAATTTTTACTTTTTATTTGCCTGAAACTTTTCTATTTGTTTTCCTCAGTTGGTAAACAGTTTTTATCATTCTTTCTATTAAAAAATACTTGGAAAAACACAAAAGTTTATTTTAAGTTCAAGAGCAGGAAATAATCTGCCAAAATTGGCTCATCAAATTGCAAACTTGTGATAGGGAATTGCATAGGAATATCTGAAAAGTGCAGTAATGTCTGGAATTTCCTTTCTCTAAGTTATAAATTTTAATATGTGATACCCTGCAATGTCTAGTTTTTTCTCATATCAATATTCATTCTTGATTACACTGTAGTGCTTCACAATATTTTAGTGGTGTTTGAAATGCTTATTTTTCACTGACAATTTGTTCTATTTTACAGGAAAGATAAAACATAAGTTTTGAAAATTATGGATACGTTTTTTTATTTTAGTCATCTGTTCAAACCCTCTCTGTGCCTCTAGACCATCAAAATCACTGAAAATTGTGAAATGCTCAGTTGGTGCAAATTTATTTATTTACTTACTTACTTACTCTCGAATACTCAGAACTCATTCTCTTTTATTATTGTATATTTACCCTAATTCAAGATGTCTTTAATTATAAAATGCCCCCTGAATTTTGAATTTTCTGATAATTATTTTTTCATTTTTAACTAATTCTTACTATTCAGTCAAAATGAATCACAAATTGTCATATTAGCCAGAAAATGATCTTGATAAGTTTAATTATTTTGCTTGAACTATCAGGATTTTCTGATTTCTTTTAAAAATAATCATCCTTGTTTTTGACACTACCATTTTCATCTTGAAATATTTCATTGTTTTTTTGTTTTTTTCTTGCTGAACCTCCACTATGCAAAGTTTTCCTTAGACTTTTTAGGCCCCCCTGGAAAATATGAGCATTTAATTTGTGCCCTTCATCTTATTTATGACACCACCCAAAAACTTTCTGATCTGTATCACCAGAATCTGTTTTTTCCTATCACACTCTTGTGCCTCCGGTTCTTTAACTACCATTTAATTAAAATTCACATTGTTTATAGTTTGCATGACCGAGTTGTGAACGATGGACATGCACATCTCTGTTCTTTGTCTCGCAGATAACATGGGAGAGAACAGAATTTCAAAAGTTTGGGAATTTTTTCTATGATTTCTTTTTTAAATAAAATTTAATTTTTTTTTTTTATTAGATGTAGAATGTGAATCAGATAGAATATTCATGATTCATACTTGGTTGGTCAAACTAAGAATGCTCGTAGCCATGGTGATAGTATAACAAAATCTCAGCAATGATTTTTATTCATTTTGATATTACATTTCATATACTTTAAAGCCACTTGTTTGAGATTTTATCTTTACAGGTCTGTCTGAATAGCCTGGCAATTCTGTGGGCAATGCCAGAAATAGGTTGTGAAGAGCAGGCCTGATGGCCTGGGTCTCGCCGTGTAAAATAAGGCATTGAATTGAATTGAATTGAACAACGCATGACGTATCCTGTTCAGGTATACACAGTACACCATGGAGACGCTGCGGGTGGGCTGGGAGCAGCTGCTGACCTCAATCAACAGGAACATCAACGAGGTAGAGAACCAGATCCTCACCAGAGACTCCAAGGGGATCACGCAAGAGCAGCTCAACGAGTTCCGCGCTTCCTTCAACCACTTCGACAAGAACCGCACCGGCCGCCTCGCCCCAGACGAGTTCAAGAGCTGCCTCGTTTCCTTGGGCTACTCTCTTGGCAAAGATCGTCAGGTGGGTTGTCTCATCATTGTGGGCATTCGTGGGTTCAATGGTGTAACGGTTAGCATATTGGACTGTTATACCCAAGTTCGCGGGTTCAAACTCGATCGAAGCCGTATATTTTTAAGAGTGAAAAACTCCTTTGTACACCTTTCTTCGGAGGGGAAGTACAGTCGGCTGTCCCATGTTGTAGATTTACTGCATGTAAAAGATCCTCAAGCCTAAATGAAGCCTCTGAGCAAAATTCAAAATGCCTGTTTCGTTGCTCGTGTGATACCTTCTTTCTCTGTCAGTCTGTGATAGGGGCATTTCTGTGGTCAGGCAGAAAAGGCTCATGGCCGGTGCCTCACCATGGAAAATAAGGCATCATTGAATTGAATTAATGCATAGCATGGCAAAATCAAAGAGCTAGATGCAGGGTGGCTACTTTCTGGAAACCAGAAAACCGAGAAAAGTCAGGGAATTTCATTGCTCTAGAAACATCATGGAATTTGTAGAAGAATCATTACAACCGAGGAAAAATTTTGAAAGGGTTATAAAACTACATTTTATTCCTTAGAAACATTAGTAAAGCATTATAACAGTAAACATTAGTTGTTTTTGTCTCACTTTTCATTTGGTGAGAAAATATAGTTAATTTGTACATTGTCATGTTGAAATCAGAAACCTGACCATATAGTTTCACAGTAACTTTAATATTGTCTTTAAGTAGTGTGAATTACCATTACTAATTATCAGGGGGTGAAATTAAAAATGCACTGGAAACCTGGGAAAAATCAGGGAAAATGTGTTCCATGTAATGATAGGCCACTCTGTAAATAGGAGTACAAAAGTAGCAATTATTCGCAGCAGTAATCCTCGTAAACAGTACAACAGTTAGAATCTTTGACACCATATAAATAAATTGGTTGAATTACTCTTGCCATACTTTACTAGAAAAGTTGAAGAACAATACAAATACGTATTGTATTATTGTATAGATTTCCTTAACTGTAATGTAATTATGGTGTCTGGGGAGACAAATTGAGATCTGAATACTTGAGAAGTCTCACTTCTTTCTGCTACTCATTTCACTTAACTTCTGCCTTCCTCTCAGAAAAAAAGAAATTTGAAATGAAAGAATATGAGTGGCCTAGCAGCCAGGTGGCAGTGAGGTGGCAGGGTTTTATGAGAGTCACAACCAGTTTAAGAATGGTTGGGAAACACATGAAACACTAAATATTAAAATTTTTCAACTTCAGAAAACATAATTGAAAAGGGGAAACATAATTATAAGTGGGAATACCAAAGCACAAAAATTGTTAATGAATGTTGGAAAAAATATTATTTTTGTGCACAATTTGTGAAATTTTTCCTTGTAATTGTCAGAAATATGTTTAATATTCACTTCTTCGTGATTTCTTCTATAAACATGTTACATGTTAATATATTTTTATAATTATAATAATGTCATGTAATTTACCAGTTTCTGGATAGAAATATTAATATAACAAGGGTCATAAAATGGACAACTCTGCATAAAACTGAAATATCCTTAAACCGGAATAATTTTGTGTCCAATCGATTCCGGTTTAGACAGATTTTACTGTATTATGCATTTACTGATAGGTTTTGTTTAAAGTGCACCAAAATACAAGGTCTTCCAGGCCCTTTTGGAGCAATGCTGATTCAATTCGGTTTTTATTAGAACACTTCAAACGTACACAATGCTAGTGTCTTAGAAAGTGGTGTCTTCATTCCATTACAGAATATTTTCATAGTAGGAAAATACTTTAATATTTCCTAATGTTTTGAACAGTCTCCATGTACTAATGTGCACTTTTCTTTTTGCAGGGTGACATTGACTTCCAGAGAATCCTGGCTGTTGTGGATCCGAATGGCACAGGCTATGTCCACTTTGACGCCTTCCTTGACTTCATGACACGTGAAAGCACTGACACCGATACTGCAGAACAAGTCATTGACTCCTTCCGTATCTTGGCTGGTGACAAGGTATGAGCAATGTTTGCTTAAGTGTGGAGTCACTTAATACGTGTTTTTTAAAATTTATTTATTTTGTATTTTATTTTATATGCTTAGAGTCCAGTGGGTAAACCCAATAATAGGACTATAAAGAAAATAGCCAAAAATTACTGCATTTTGACAAGTGCTGATTACAACTTACTGACAAATTACTTACTTATGCTAATTGCAAGTGAACCAATCATATATATATAAACAAATAAACTTCAGAATTTAACAAAAAATTATTTGTTAATTTAATCATAATTGACACTTTCGGTTTCAACAGCGTGCTGTAATTGCAAGGCAGAATACAGACTTATCTGTTATTTCACAGATTAATTTAAGAAATTAATAATGAGATCTGCCACAATAAATATGGAGATTGAATAGTTCCTCGGATAATTTTAATAAGAAATAAAATTTGGTGAAAATGTGTCCTTTTGCTAAAACTTTCCAAACTGAATTTAGATTGAAAATACTCATTAATTCCACCAGTAGGTTAAATATCTGTATTTTCAAAAGCTAGGTATTTTACAAGATGCCATTAAAATTTTTTAAGCACTATGGATCATGGTGTGATTCTATCAGATGATAATATGAGACACACTGAGTCACCTTGAATGTACCACAGAACAATAAATAACTCGCAAAGCTTACAGCTATTTAAAATTGAAATAAAATTGTCTCCTAATCTTCATCACACATATATAAACACATATGTTTGCAGAAATGTATGGAATTCAGAATGGAGAAATTTTTTAATTAGTAAAGAAGATCAATAAATTGTGGATACTTTCTTTCAAATTTTCTTCTGTCATTGTAGGCTCATGTGCCTGAGATTGAACTGTTGTTCACAATTGAACAATAATTTATGAGTGATTATAACGGTGTTACTGATTCGTTTTCATTTAATTAGAAAGAACTCTTTACTTCTCTATCTCAAACATACCTTAAATGTAAGAAATATAAGTGTTCATCACATGTGATTCAAATAAAAATATTTATTTGACGTTTGTCTCCTGTAAAACATCATTCATTTCACATGACAGTTTTTATAGGTCATTTTAACAACAGTATTTGAGTGCTCCAATAATTTTACAATGTTGTACATAACTTGAAATATTTTACATAACAAAAGTGTTGTTCTTTATGATTAGCCATGTGAATGGAATAATACATTCTGAAATGTTTGCAAGCTAATATAACCACATATAGTCACCCTATTAAGAACTCCATCCAAGTCAAATAACTCGAACTTTACATTACGTCTTTTGCCTAATATCGTCAGTAGAGAACTCCAATAAGTTAGTAAGGTAGCCCTCAAATCCCCTTGTTTTTGGTTAAACCTCTAGAGCTCTAAAACTGCAAGTTTAGCACCTTTAGAGCACAAATATACAATTTTTAGCATTAAGTAGTAGATGCCCAAGAAAGGTTTTGCATCTCAAACTGCAATGAAATAATCACTGAAAAATTCTTACTTGAAGGTTTTCTCTCAATGGGGTGATGATGTGTGTTATGAACATGTGGTTGTTAAATACAGCGTAAATATGTGTTTGTTTGTTGCAGCCGTACATCCTGCCTGACGAGTTGAGACGTGAACTGCCCCCTGACCAGGCCGAGTACTGCATCCAACGCATGCCTCCCTTCAAGGGCCCCAACGCGACTCCCGGAGCCTTGGACTACATGGCTTTCAGCACTGCGCTCTACGGGGAGTCCGACTTGTAGAGCGGCTGATGATGTGATGCGATAAGGCGATGCGACGACATCTTATGCCTTGCCTCACTCTAACCTTCGCCTGGTCGGCACCAAACTGTTGTTTTTATTTAAATCTACAGAATGTTTATTATATTATAATAATAATTATTATTTTTTTGCTGTGTACAATATTTGAAGAAACATGGTATACATAGTGTGGCTAAGGAGTCTGTACACACTTTATCATAGTAGTTCTGTTCTCATCTCAATAAATTACTATATATTTTTGATTAAATAGTTTTGTCGTACATTTTAAGTTGTATTTCACACTGTAAAGAATGCTGTGTATTCGAATTTGTTTTCTTTTGTTATTTCCAGATTGCCAGTTATTTTCATTAGCTATTTTCATTTTCAAATTTGCTATTCAGTAAATAATGTTTAAAGAGATTCTTTATTTATAACGAAACTCGTTTACTGGTAATGAAATAACACCAAAGATTTCATTCATAAACAAAGGAATTTCAAAATAATATTCTCATTTCTGTTATCGTTATTTTCATCTTGATAAGTAAATGGTAATGTGTGCCCAGACGTCGTAGCTATACTCTGTATATATTTAACCAGTGGTGATTAGGAGAGGGAAGCATCCTGCTGATTTCTGGTATAGTTGTGTCAATATGCATTTGCAATTGAATATCTTGTGGAAGTGTTGGAATAGCAAATTATTATTGAATTTAATGGTGACACAAGTAGGAATTGAGTTCTTATTACACATATCACGAGAATAATCATGTGTACACATCTAGAGAATGAATGATTAATTCTGGATTTACGCAGCTCGGTACTCAAGTTTGGTCTCCGGGAGATCACTGTTGAGTACAATACTTTGCTTAGAGATGTGTGATGAGGCTAAGTTGCTCTACTGGTTTTTGGAACTTGATGACTTGTGTACATACATTTTTCCTTTGAGCACAATATAAAGTAGTTCAGCCATAGAATTCAGTAGTGCAGCCTTGTTTCATCAGGCAATCTGAGCTTTTTTAATGTTCCGTTCACAATAAAACATCAATCTTGTTGACCGAATTCCCTTAATCAGTATTTGCTGATTCATTCGGCATTTTTCATTGATACTCAAGATGTGTATCCTTTCTATCTTGGACCAGTGAGTGTCTCAATATTCAGTGTGCCATACATCAACTAAGAGTTTTTAACGAGTCACTCACGTTAGATACAGTTCCTCCTGTAATTGGTTGCTTGTATCATAAATGGTACCTATTATTAACTAGTACTCAAGCTGTATAGGTACTTTGAATTTTAAGAATTGCTGGGTGAGGAAATCAGCAGGATAAGAAATTTTCGCCTTGCCCTGCCGCTAACGAAGGCTGATCACTACACAGTGAATCGGCAACGAAACTCACTGCCAGCTGGGCAGGGGCAGTGTGTACTCGCGGAATGCAAAGAAGGGAATAACATATTTTTGGAAGGTGTTAAAAAACATGTTTTTTTTAAATGCCCAATTTTTTAGATGGAAGATGTTGCAAGTAATTATATATATATAAACACACACAACCTAAAAATATTAAAAGTATGAATAAAAAGTAATCTTAAGAAATTATTTTTTTGAAATAAGCCCAGAATTGAATAGCAGGTTTATAGTGTGACATTCTAGTCAGATGTTCGGTCATATGTAAAACTGAAAAAACATAAATAAGGCTTACAAGAATGGAACATTAAAAAGGAATATTGGAATATTTTTGTGTTTTATTTTTAAAATCCTTTTGCCTAATACCCTCATAAGAGAACTCCAATAAGGTAGTATAATCAAATCCCCATGTAATGTTAAGTGTTTACTTGTCAGTGGTGAATTACTAATTGAATTATTGGCTTGTTTGGTTTTAATTACAAATTCAAATTAATTATTTACATTTTTATACTGGTTACAGAGAAAACTTAAAGCTTTTGAGATGGTTGTACATTGCAAGGATCATGGTAACAGGACAGATTTGAAGCTTAAGTACAGCACTTGTAGGCATTTTTTGTTTTAAAATTGTATACAGGACAAATTCATTACATATAATTGTTAAAATTTATTACGGATTAGATATTTGCAACAAATAGAAATGTGTACATACTCCCAGAAAACAAATACTGAGAAAATTAAGTAACATCACTGCACTTGGGTAGGAAATCTTATGAGTGATATTAATACACAACAAAAATAAAATGAATACAATATTTTTATTGAGCTAAAATTTAATTTGACTTCTTGTATTTGTAAGGAGTGTTGTCGAAAGCGTTACATAATTATTTAGGGGGAGTTCAATCACGAGTTGCGGGCATCACGAGAGGGAGAGGGGTATTCAAAATACTGAAAATTTTCGTTACAAAATGTATGGGCGGTCCCCACAGGCTTCATGCATGATGTGAGATTTTGGACGCTGCGACGCTGGCGGCGACACATCGGGGCAAACACTCGTTTGTACTCGTTGGTACCACTCGTTTATTCTCGGTCGCATTCGTGTCATTCGAATTCTTTCTAACACTTCGACTGCAGGGCCCTCCGTCAGGCGGAATCCCAACTAATCTTTACGGAAAACGCATGCCAGGCTCAGCCCCACCCAGCCCTATGAAGCTAGGAGCCCCTGGGGGCAAACCTTACTTTCACCGGCCTACGAACACAGTTCCCCCACCATCAATCTAGGCGAACGGTGACGTCACGGCTCGGTATTTGCTGTTGGCCAGCCAAGTCTGCTGATATCACTCTTACCGGCGACTCATCTGTGCGACTTACAATTTACAACGTTCTCACCGGTAAGAAACATTTGTTGTGTGAGCTCCAAGGCCGGTTCACTCAATGGTAAAAGGCGGGGGACTAAGTTTGTTTCCTCGGTCACGGACCTGGTGCAGATAGCGCAGCTGTTGCGTTTCGGCGCGCATTTTCAAAGTAAAGTTGTGCGAATGCTGGTTGTGGTGCGTATAGGGAGTATCTATTAGTATTATCTGCTTTTTTTATGATTTACTACAAACAATTAATTGTATTTCCTAAAAAGGGTGCTCAACCTCTTGGAGGATGCCATTTCATTACCTCCTTCAAAAATCAACTGATGCGTGAACGATGATAGAAAAACATAAATCGCCAAGATTTAATCGGTAAATTATGTACGAAATATTATAAAAGTTAATAAAATTGTTTGTACTAATAAAATTAATCAAATATGCACACTTTGATACAATTGGTGAGACAGAACCTCACTTCTATAGAAGAGAGATTTTTTTATAATAGAAAATTTACAATCTGCCCAATACATGGGGATCTGTAGACCATTAAATAATTTCATGGTTACATATAACAATTTTTAATAAATGTTTAACGTGAATACATAGATAAAAATGGAGGGAAATGGTATAAATGTCTCATAATTTCATAAATTCATATTAGTAATAGTAAAAATGAAAAATTAGTCCAGTTTTCTAACTGTTGGAATGTTGATACCTGTTTAGTTTTCTGATGTCAATTTGTTTAAATTAAAATCTTCAATTATCTTACATCTTGGCCTTGGAACACCATATTGGATTTCTTCATGAATTGTATCCACAGAGAAACAATGAAAAAGACAACAAATCAACAAAGAAAGTTGAATAGACTGTAGAAAAATGGTTCACGCCCCTAGTCGCTTAAGGTGCAGGTCATGAACGATGCCAGCAGACTTGGCTGGCCAATAGCAAACACCGAGCCGTGACGTCACCGTTCGCCTAGATTGATGGTGGGGGAACTGTGTTCGTAGGCCGGTGAAAGTAGGGTTTCCCGATTCTGATGACCTAAAACATTGCCAAAAGGTGTCAATAAAACGCTCTTAAAATGCTTTAAAAATGCCCTCAACACAATGAAAAGTGACGTAAAATATTGATCAAAACACTTCAAATGAACAGCTCAAGCTGTTGGATATGTTACTGAAATAATCGAGGCTTCGGCTTTTTGTTCATGTGAACTTAGGTTGCAAACATTGGGTTGGGAATGTTCTTTAAAAGAAAATATCTGCCTTATTTAACATGAAATTGGCCAAACTAACGATGGCGCTTATAAATGTCACAGGTTCTGTAGATTACATAGTACACAAAGGCTGACATTATAATATATGAGCGAAGAAATCGAATAGGCTATTTAGAAATTCTGTGGTGAACAATTCTTGCACATCGTAAATATTGTTTGAAGCAAGCATCATCAAAGTAATATTAAAATTGATTAAATTAGCGAAATATGCAGTAAAATGATGTAAGAATATTAAAAAATGACTTATGAGTCGAAATCGACGAAAAATGCAAAGAAATGGCGTATAGTAATGGATAATTTCGTTAAAACAAAAATAATTTCTGTACTAAACGCAATTGTTCTAAAATGAAAAAGAAAAAAAACATGACATTTCATTAAAATCCGCCTCCTAGCAATAAGACATGGGTTATCAGTACTGACAAAAACTTTTTTAACCGCCTGCAACTATTATTAGTCCGAAGTTGTCTATTTTTTTCACGTGTGTTGTTAGGAAAGTGCCGGGTTTTCCAGAAGACATCGATTTTAGACCATATTCTCGTCGTACTATAGTCTTCGTAAAAGATATGCCCTCGACTATTCGGAACGGAAGAACAGTTCTCTTTGCGGATGATACGAATATTATTTCCAATAAAGAAACCGTAAATAGTACAATATCACATTTTCAAATTAGTTCCCTACAGGGAATCTTCTTTACAGGGAAGATTATTAATTTGTAATTATAATAACAAATTCACAGTAATTATAGTAGTTATAATTACAATTTAACATGAAAACAAAAATGTTTCAATGCAGCTTTCCATTACAAATAAATAATACTCTACTCCATTGAAAATGAATGATGTGCTATTGACGACTGACATTAAGGTAACAACATTTTTTCATCTCTCGTCACTCAAACCTATTAAATGGAACGTCCAATTAAGTAAATTGAATACAAAATTAAGTTCACTATGCTGCGCGTTCAAAATTCTTTCACATTCAGTCAGCCTTCATAGTTCTTGTTGTGCATATTTCGCAAATGTTCATTCCCCCCTGAGATATGGCTTACTTTGCTGGGGAAATACATCTTATAGCTCCCAGACTTTTAGATCACAAAAAAGGGTTGTAAACAAATCCCACCCACGTCATTACTGTAATGTTTTCTTCATTAAACCACGAAATCTACCATTCTAGAACGTATTTTGATTTACGGATCAGTAAATTTGGCCAAAAATGGCTTATTCAACGTTGGAAAAATATTTTCAGCAAACGCTGATGTCTATAACTTCAACACTCGATGTAGTAATCATATTCATGACATCATGTCATTGACAGTATCAACAGCTCGCTACAAAAAATTCACATATGATACATGTACATTATTTTACAAGACCTCGCCAGATGACATTAAATTATTAAATTCGATTCAAAAGTTAGTTACAAGTAAAATCTTTCGTACTGCATAAATGTTTCTATACAATTAAAGACTATACCGAACATCCAAAAGGAAAGCAGTATTAATTTTTACAACGACATTTAGTGTATTATTTACCATTTGGATTGTATAATTCTAAAGAATCTGTAACACGTATTTTACAGTTTGTGGGTCAATGACCCCCCATCGATCAGGTTTTCGTCCAGTTTCCCTGATCCTTGAGAAAATGCTGAGTCGGTCCCTTGTTTTGCTTCTGTACGTAAATGTAACTTCAAATTAACTTCTCCCCATAGTTCGTCACACACAGTTTTTAACTGTTTTTGACGTAAATAAATAAAAATCACATTTTCTAAATATTTTAATAAGAGCAATTGAACATTTTGTTAAAAAAAGCTATAAAATGCGTTAATGTATTTGTTTAATTTACTAAAATCACCGCAGAATTTACACAAATAAATATTTTAACATTTCAAAACTGTCATGTGCGATACCATGTTACCTGAATTGAGCGCTCATAAAAATTCAATAATGGACGATTCCTAACATGGTATTGTTTTGATTGGGCCCAAGAAATTTTTTCGTGGTGTAGTGCTGCACTCTGATGATTGTATTAGAAACTTATATTTTAATCGTCCGTTCGCTAGAATCGGCAAGTACGTATTTTTATGAAATTGTACCGCAGAAGAAAGCATGAAGAAGAATATTAGTCTTTCCTGTATAGTAGTTCATCTGTGCTTGTCTGTGTCCGAGCGACGACCCCTTTTTGCTTGAGGCAGGGAAATCCGTACATCATGGTCTTAATTTGGTTACTCCCGGGTTAGTTCCAGGCAAAGAATAACAACTCCCATGTTACTACTCCTCTATATCGTCATTCTCCCTCCACCTGTTCCTCTGGTAGAGCGCCAGAAAATGTTTGTGGTACCGAAAAGTTTAAAGAAGATATTTTATTCAGTGTTGTGAATATTACCAATCACTGGCAGCGAGAATGTTTTAGTTAGAACACAAATTTGAACAATATTCGTAGCGTCATTTTAAATTTTGATAGTAAGGTTTGGTTCTTTTAAAACTGTTTCGGACCGCCCAAAATCGCAGGTGTCAAAATATAGAATTCATTGGGAACACGACATGTCTTCCAGGTTTCATTGACTAAATATATTTTCGGGCACATGCAATTGAGGCGAAGACATTGAGGTTGTTTGTCAAGATGCGTTTAAATTTCTAAAATTGAAAGAGAATATTAGCAATGGGAAAAAAGAGAACATCAAAAGCAAAAAGGAAAGTAGGAGCAATTAAGATCAAAAAAATAAAAAAGTTAAAGGAACCCGACAAAAAAAAAGATAGTGCCTCCAATTTCTTCTGGGCTGTAAAAGTACTTAAGAAGGTTGCTAACAAGCCAATAGAAGTTAGCCCCCAAAATGTAAGTGGATAGTAAATAGTTTTTATTTCACAGGGGAGTATGTTTTCTTAGCAATTCTTGCCAAGAACACTTGTACTGATTGAACAATTTTTCTCTCGTCTCGTATGTCATGCCAATACAATTCTTTATTTTAGGATTGTGTTATTTTGTAAGGAAACCTTGCCACATCATTGTTTTTTTTAAGTTCGGCATTGTTTCATTACTTTTCATAATCCTTATTTTGACAATATAATTAGACACCAAAACACAATGTTTATTCAAAATATAGAAGTCACAACCTCCATTATGTGAAAGATTTTACAATTTTTTTAATAGCAAGCAAAGTGTCAATTTTACTCCTCAGGCATCAAACATTGCCATCTCCATTTTTATGAATGTCTAAAGCAATGTGTAAAGAATGGATAGGTAACAAAAACATGCAAATGTGCTAAGAACTTTTTTTTATCATAGTGACAAGAAGAAAACATATTGTTTGTTATACTTGGTTTCATTCCATATGTTACACATGTGTATTTTTGGATGCTTGTCATAATTAAATTAAATATGATATAAAGATTTAGTTAGTTTCATCGCATGGCCTTTGTAAGTATTTATTCAAAGTCATTGCAAGATGAACAGACTTGCCAAATGTCACTATTTATTGTTAAGTTGTGAATATAAGTATTTTGAGTGACAATGTCAAACCTTTTTTTAATCTTATTTGTGTCCAACTTTACCCACTACTAATGGCCGATCATTGGTAAAATCTATTGGCCTTAGTGTTGAACATTGCAGGATTTCTTGAATTACAGTTTGCAGTATTGACTGATATCTTTTCATTTTGTTACCTGCTGTAAAGATTGATTCTACAGGAAACAAAACCATTAAAAACATATAAATAAAAATGGCCTTCTTTCGCACAGGTGGTTTGTTTCAAAAGGGACAATATTTCAGAGATCTATTTATCTCTACTTTGTTCAGCTACTAGGAAAAACAATTAAAAAATATCTTTCTTTAATAATGAGTTTAACATTTTGAACATTGAAAGGATGAATGTGAATGGACAAAAAGCATTTCACTCAAATTAATATCTGGAGGCACACCTTAGTTAATTTGTATCATTAATTAATGTTGAACTGATCAGAAATTTTGTTGATGCTGAAGTTATTTAATTTAAAGTTTGGATAACGTGAGTTAGAATAGGAGGGCAATCTAAATGTAATATTGAGGTTTTCCATGTTCCATTTCATTATTTGACATAAGTATTTGCCCAATTTTCATAACATTAATTTTTACAGCTCCGAGAAGTGTTGTCCAAATGTCCCCATGCAGTGGCAACGTGGGCAGGGAAAAGTGCCATCCTCAATGCGGTTCAGTTGATGCGGGATGACCTTCTGTACGTTCTGATTGAAGCTGGTGCCATCATTCAAGTGAGTCAAAGATAGGTTTTATATTATGTTATAAACATATGTATATTTATGGAACAATACTATTATTACTGCTACTACCAGTATTATTATTATTATTATTATTATTATTATTATTATTATTATTATTATTATTCGGGTATGGGCTGCTACTGACCTTCCAACACATTTCTCTCTCCGAGAACCAATTGTCTTCTATCCTCGAGAGATCAATGTGTGGAATTATAGGGATCGGCCTTTTGGCTGCCTCCCGTGGTTCAGAAAAGGTTGTTAGTTTTGAATATCAATTAGGGGGATAGGATGATGATGTTACTGTTGTTATCATTGTCATGATCGTTATTATTGCTATGATTGTTATTATTATAGGGTGATGATGATGAGGGGTGAGAGGGTTAGGATGATGGTGGGGTAGTGACAGGTGTTTATGGTCTTTTGGAACCATCTTAGTATTTGCCTTGTGGCTGAGGGAGACCACGAAAACCCTGGTCAGGTTCGCCGGCCCAGGGATTGAACTCGGACCTCCCGATTGCAAATCCAGCACGCTACACAGTGAGCCACTTCACTCTTATTTTTCTTCTTTGTTTTTTCTTCTTCTTCCTCTTTTCTTCTTCTTCTTCTTCTTCTTCTTCTTCTTCTTCTCCTCCTTCTCCTTCTCCTTCTCCTCCTTCTCCTCCTTCTCCTTCTTCTCCTTCTCCTTCTTCTCCTTCTTCTCCTTCTTCACCTTCTTCTCCTTCTTCTCCTTCTTCTCCTTCTTCTCCTTCTTCTCCTTCTTCTCCTTTCCTTCTTCTTCTCCTCTCCTCCTTCTCCTTTCCTCTTCTCCTCCCTCCTTTTCTCCTCCTCCTCCTTCTCCTCCTCCTCCTTCTCCTCCTCCTCCTTCTCCTCCTCCTCCTTCTCCTCCTGCCTCCTTCTCCCTCTCCTCCTTCTCTCTCCTCCTTCTCTCCCTCCTCCTCCTCCTCCTTCTCCTCTCCTCTCCTCCTCCTTCTCCCTCCCTTCTCCTCCTCCTTCTCCTCCTCCTCCTTCTCCTCTCCTTCTCCTCCTCTCCTTCTCCTCCTCCTTCTCCTCACCTTCTCCTCCTCCTTCTCCTTCTCCTGCTCCTCCTTCTCCTCCTATACTCCTCCTTCTCCTTCTCCTCCTCTCCTTTCTCCTCCTTCTCCTCTCCTCTTTCTCCTTTTCTCCCTCTCTCCTTCTCCTCCTTCTCCTTCTCCTCCTTCTCTTCTCCTCCTTCTCCTTCTCCTCCTTCTCCTCCTTCTCCTTCTCCTTCTCCTCCTTCTCCTTCTCCTCCTTCTCCTTCTCCTTCTTCTTCTTCTTCTTCTTCTCCTCTTCCTCCTTCTCCTTCTTCTCCTCCTCTTCCTCCTCCTCCTTCTTCTTCTTCTTCTTCTTCTTCTTCTTCTTCTCCTCTTCCTCCTTCTCCTTCTTCTTCTTCTCCTCTTCCTCCTTTTTCTTCTTCTCCTCCTCTTCCTCCTTCTCCATCTCCTCCTCTCCCTCCTCCTTGTCCTCTTCGTTTTCTTCTTCTCCTCCTCCTTCTTGTCCTCACCCTCCTTCTCTACCTCCTCCTCCTCCTCCTTCTCTACCTCCTCCTTCTCCTCCTCCCCCTCCTCCTCCTCCTGCTCCTCCTCCTTCTCCATCTCCTCCTCCTCCTCCTTCTCCATCTTTGCCCTCTTCTTCCCCTCCTTTGTCTTTCTCCTCCATTATTATTTTTTTTGTTTATTATTTTTAATATTACAGCTTGGTCTTATATTTGTTTTGTAGCCTCCTGGCACACAGGTGTGTGAAAATGACATTCCTGAAGATGGAGATGATGTGAATTCAGAGGCTAAGGCACTGGTCCATTCAGTGGTGACGGATGCCAGCGTTTGTGCTTTCCTCTCCAAATGTGCTGATTTCCCACACAACAAGCTGAATGATCTTCTGCGAGAAGCAGATTCTGCCGACGCAGTGAAAGCATTGCTGACGGTTGGAGCGCAACCCAACTATTTTGGCAGCTATGGTGAGTGCATGTTAAGGAGGACGTCCCGCCTTGGGAGCCAACCTGATTGCCAAGTTGGGCGTGTCTTCTCACATTCCGCATTCGCTGAGTAGCAAACTCCTGCTGGTCTAGTCCAGAGAAGTCGTGTGTCAGTTAACGATCGCTACCTTTGATGTGACCAACAGATCGACGTGTGGTAAGGTGTGCGAGCACGGAATGTTGCGTGCAGCTAATAGCCAGCAACCTGTCCACACTACTCAGGATTTGGCGAGCAATTGCTGCCGACTCAGCGAACACCGAATGTGTGGAGCCACCTCAAAGTGACATCCCAGGCAACATTGATATTTGCTTGTGTGTTGTGGGATGGTGGGGCTGTTCAGCTGCAGTGGTTGTGAGTTGCATCTGTGCAGTGAGAGGTGGTGGTGATTCTCCCCCTCTGCTTGCAGGGTTGCCCCTGCCATCTCTCCTCACATTTCCACCTGTAGTCTCCCAACATCTGGTAGTGTAGTGTAGTGTAGTGGAGTGTGTGAGTGGGTAAGGGGAGAGGATGGAAAAATCACGTGTGATCCCAGGTCTGCTTGGTAGGGTACTGCCTTGGCATTCACCTGGTATGAATCGGAGAAACCACAGAAAACTTCTGATCAGAGCAACCGTATCCTAGTATTCTCCCATATGAACTCGACCCAGCCATTTGCCTGGTGTTGAAAATTTTGGCACCATAGTGAACCTTAGGAACATTTTTAACTTTTACTATTTTCAAATAAGCCATTGTTACACTATGTGATCAAAAGTATCTGAAGACATGGCTGAAAATGACCTACCAATTTATGGCGCCCTTCATCGATAAGGCTGGAATTCTATATGGCGTTGACCCACCCTTGGTCTTGATGACAGCTTCCACTCTCGCAGGTATACTTTCAATCTGGGATGAAGTTGTCATTCCAAAACCTCCCAGAGGTGTTTGATAGGATTCAAGTCAGGACTGTGTAGGCCAAGCCATTACAGGGACGTTATTGTCGTGTAACCACTCCACCTAAGGCTGTGCAGTACGAACAGGTGCTTGATCATGTTTAAAGATGCAACCGCCATCCCCGAATTGCTCTTCAACAGTGGGAAACGAGAAGGTGTTAAAAACATCAACGTAGGCCTGAGCCGTGGTAGTGCCACACGAAGCAACAATGGGTGCAAGCCCCCTTCATGAAAGATACGACCACACCGTAACACTATTTTGGACTTGTCCGGATACTTAATATCACATGGTGTTTAAGCGTACATTCTTCGTTTTGAAAAAAAGTATAAAGAAAAACATTTGAAGCCATTTTTGAGAAAATTTTTAAAATGCCCTAGTGTGTTCATGTAGAGTACGTCAAAAATTAAAATATCATTTTTAGATTCATGGGGCCATATAAAGCTCAATCAGGAAATGTAAGTTTTGGTAAAAATTGTGTTTATGCGCTAGGTTTGTTCAGATGGACTGACTGTTGAAATCCACTGATGTCAAGGACCTACAAAACATGGATTCTTACTGCACTATATTTTTAAGAAAGTAATTTACTGCGTATTGTAGTGACCGAAAACCACTTTTTCAAAGCTGGCATCTAGAAAATGAGTTTCTGTCAAAGCACAACATTCTCTTCTGAAGCATTACAGTACTTTCTCAATACCATGTAGTAGCAAATGAAAAAGTTAATACAGAACATTTCTTCCATTCAGAACAAATTCATGAGTTGAAATATCTCACGATTTATTTATTTCTGCACAAAGCAATACATCCTTGAAATCATCAAATTCAATAGTAAAATTATTCCCCTTCATTTTTTTAACCTCATGGCTACTTTAACAGCTTGACCGTTATATATCATACTACTCATACTTCATTTGTTTTGAAACATTTTCATCAGCAAACAACATCCTTCATTTGTTGTGTAAACTCATTTGCTTTTATCTGGAGAAATTTTCAAAATATCCTGCACTGGCAAAATGACTGCTTTATGGTAAATGTTTATGCTAATGAAAAAGCCGTACTTCAATACTAAATAGACATTCCTTTCAAAATTTGAAAATGCTTCTAATAAGAAGCATTTTCAAATTTTGAAAGGAATGTCTTTTAAATTGGTAACTTGCATCCCTACCATCATGTTCATTATGGCAGGTTTTTATAGTTTGAAATGTACTCCAATTGGGACCATTTTCTCTACTTTTGAAGTCGTGTTCATAACATATAATTTCAGGATTCATGAATGTTATCAAATTCATTCATTGTAAAGGGGGATAAAAAAATTTAAAATGACTACTTCTGAAAATGAAAGTTAGAAAGTTTAGTTTTACAAAACACAACATTCTTCAAAATATAAACATATATTCAAGAAGCAAATAATTAAAAGCTTCAAACAATCAACCTTGGGTTTATCAAAAGGACATGCTATCTTTTATGGTGCAATACCTTCCTCCAGACAAAAGAACGTACAATCTACTTATCACTTTTCAGAAGATAGTAAGAAGCTGAAAAGTATGTCAATGTAATTGTATTTTTTCAATAAATGCCCTTAGGAAGACGCTTCTCTTGTGGATCGCAAGCAGTTCCATCAGTTGTTTCAGTGTCATGACAATTTTTATAAAACTGCTTTTTCTTATAAAATATATTATAATTAGAGACTGGATTTTTATATAATTACATATTTGTTGTTGTTCTGCTTGCTGTTCTACATGCCGTTCTCAAAATTGTAATCTTGACAATTTCTCGCCCTCCTTACACAATATCAATTTTTTTTTGTTACATATTACATATTTTACTATTTTCACAAAATATTTTTATTTATTCACTTTTATTACATTTTTTTTTTTAAAGAAATATTTATAAAACCATCAGCACTTTTCCTGCAGTATTACTGCGAGCGGTCTACTTGATGTACTTGTACACAATATAAGAGAGGGTCGAAGGGGGCAGGACAGCCCAGTGCTCCTGCTTCAATTATCTCAGTGGCAGAAAGGCGCAACAGTCACTGAGATCATTTTCACTTTTATGTGAAAAGTATCACTGACGCCACATTTTGTGATTTCTAACCTGAATTTCCAAGAAGATTGTTTACTGGTCTTAAATCCTGCAAGTTTGTGGCTTCTATTGCATTTGGTCTGGCTGCTACACTTCGATTCTGAATAACAATTGAAGCTTTTACTACTGAAGTGTGAACCGATTTTTACTCTCCAATTGATTTTTAAAATATTTATATTATTTTTAAAATGTGTTAAGGTATTTTTTTATAAATGAAATTTCGTATATAATGTACATGTTTGTTTTTAATTAATTTTTTATTATTAAATTATTTTTATATTATTTAACATAATATTTTATTTATATTACATATTACACATCCATATTTACTACATATTCTTACTGTTTTTATGACATATTTATGTACATATTGTGACGTTTTATACTACAATTTTTTCTGGTATCTGATTATGATGAACTAAAATTGAAGAAGTAGGTGTGAGTGATATGCACTACCTTTTTAATACAAAGATGATTTTGAAAAATGTGGAAACTAACTGTTTTGCTAAACTAAGCGCTTGGAATATTTGAATGCGAATGTGAATGAGGTGTTTAAGAAAGGGAATTTGATGCCACTTTAATGCCTTTGTATGGGTGGACCTAGGGTTTGAGCCTTTTGAATGGTGGATTTCTGATACCAGCATTAAAGCTGGCTTGAATTCAATCTCTATCTGGAGCAGAATTTTAGCAACCAGCTGCTCTGATTGGTAGTTCTCCGTGATTTCTATGATCAGTCTGGGCCGAATCAGTACCCCAACAAACAAGTCAAGTCATGCACAATCTTTCGTTCCTTGTGCTTGTCACTCCTCTACCCTTACTAACACTCCTTTGCACTATGATACAACACATGTCAGGAGCATAGAGCTTGTCCTGTGTGGTTGTTCTATGATCAGTACCAGTACATTCCAAATCGGTGCCCCAACTGGAGCTTGGAGCTTGTCTTGTGTGGGGCAGTGCCCATGGGACAAACACTCCTGTAGGGGGAAATACCAAATATCAAACAGATGTGTAGGTTGGTGATGGATCTCATATTGTAGCAGGGGTGAAACACCACCATGTTGTGGGATGTACGGGACTTATGACAACACCAGTCAATCAATCGGAAAGAGTGATATATGGCTGTGCAGGATGAGCAGCATCACAGTTGGTGGGGCTGACGTTTCAGCCATCAAGTTGTGGCCTTCTTCTGAGCTTCTCTCGACTGACTTTTCTGAGCTACACTGGAAATGTCAGCTGAACTGACTGTGACGTGACTCCTCATGGACCGTCCATGTATCCAAGGACTTCCGCCACAAGAGTCTACAAACCAAATCAGAAAGTGTTTTGTTGAGACTTTTGTCTGTGTGGTGTTTTCAGGCTGTACTGCAATACATGAAGCAGCTTATAGCGGCAGGCCTGTGTGTCTGTTCACCCTCCTGCAGCGAGGTGGAATAAGTTTCACGCGCTCTGCAGAAGGGCGGACAGCTCTTCATGCTGCTGCGATTGGCGGGAACATAGCCTGCGTTAAGGTTCTCATCACGGTGCGTGTTTTGAGGAGAAAAGTTTAGTTCGTTTTGGATTCGTTCCCTCGCTTCTAATTTGGTTTTATTAATCCTAGCAGTACAAAGGTATGAATGTGCTGTGCCAAGCGAAGGGCTTCCAGCATGTAAATTTTGATTTTATTGATGTTTTCTGAAATTTGGTAAATCATTTAATTGATATAATTAAAAAAGTTCAAGTACGTTCATTTAAACAAAAGCATTGTTCAACATCTGACTCTGCAAATGAAAAAAATGGGATTTCTTGCACCCTAACAGAATTTATATTTAATGAAATCATATTACATTTTTGTGACCAAGGCTGTTGCATTATCATAGAATGTTAATGAATTAAAGGTATTTTACTTAGACTTAAAGTGTGATGAATATTTCCAAAATGTATTCTAAATGTTCAGTTTTGAGTGAATTATCCCTAATTTTTTTAACCATAGTCAGAGACACTATAATAACTCAAATTGTAACAAGAAGTTGTAATAAATTGCATCAAATTTTGATCAAAAAGCACATCATAAACAATATCAATGATTTTCAGATTCCTCAAACAAATCGAAATATGTAAAAAAAACCTTTACAGCACTTGTTTTCTAAGCACTAGTTCCCCTGTTATTGAAGGTACCAAAACCAGTATCTACCAATAGGTAGATAGAGTAGAAAATGCATGAACATCTTGAGTAATCTACAGTTGTTTACTGTATGGGTCATTTTATTTTTGAATCCACTGAGTGTGCATGATTTGTTACGATTTTTTCTTTTTGGATATTTTTGTTACAAGCATCCAAGTAAGCATGTTTTAAGATATTCTATAAAAAAATTGTATTACTAATTTTGAAGGTTTATCTTTTGATTTTAAAATATGAAATGGTTTTGCAATTTTGGACAGTCTTTTTTTAACTGTGTAACCTTTTCATTTTCTTTTGGTTGGATTTATGGATTTGGTTGGATTATTATTATTGGAATGGATTTATCCAGATTTGGAATGAATTTCAATAAATATTGGAATCCTTAGGGTATTGTGTACATTCAAGAAATTCATTACAAACTTCACTTTAGCCAATTTTGTAGACAGCTTCTAACATCATCTTTTCCGCAGAAAGATTAATTTGTGAGTTTATACAGGATGTCCGGGAAATAAACGTTGAAACTATGAAAATAAGCTCTGAAGACAATTTTAAGCATATTTTGTCTAATGAAGTACTTGGATATTCTGAATGTCTGAGACACAATAAACACTCAAAAGTTGGTTTGAAAAAATGCTTTCTAGGCAAAAATTTGCATTGCAAAGCATGTAAACCCTCTAGAAAGAAATGAATGTATTTTTTCAGAAAGAATAATTAACCTCAGCATAAAAAAATTGTTGAATTGGGTAAGATTTCCAAGTTTTCGACGTTTCTTCCTCAAACAACGTGTATTTTCAAAGATTTGGACACAATCTTTTCAATATTTTTGGGTCTTTAACTTGCGGATGTAAGTCATCTCTCGTTGGATTTGAGTTCTGATAGTGTTAGCTGAGAACCAGTATCGCTAGGTTTGGGTCCCCATGGTGACGAATGTTCATTACTGACTAGATAGCTAGGTGAAATTCAACTGCTGTCTGTAGAAGAATCCTAGCAGCCTGATACTCTGATAACCTTTTGTGGTTTGTCTGATCAGTACCAGGCGAGCAGTACCTTAACAATCGAGCCATGAACTGTACAGGTTTTTTCTTCCTCTTGCGCATTCACACACTTACATGCACTACACTACCTCACATTGAGAAACTTAAAACCTGGCTTGGGCAGTGCCTGGCTGAAGGGAGTCAAGGTTGTCAGATGTGTTGCAAGTTTTCCCACCACTGCTATGGAATTTCCCCAAATAACCTCTCCAATGAAACAAAATTTGCTGACTTTAAAACAAAAAATATTCTCCAAATTATGAATCAATGGCATGAGCTGCGCCGGACAATTCTATTGGCATTCCCCTTAAATTTCAATAATTCAAATCAACCAACTCGTTGTCCTTTGAGCTGCCTGAAGCCCTACTTTTTTGTTTTTCTCATGCTTTCCTTTCCTTTGCCTGTTGTTTATTTTTCTCTTTTTGGTACATAAAAAAGAGGGTGAATAAAATTTATTGTGTTTTTTTAATCATGATAATTTAGAGAATAATATTTCTATCTCTACTCTGGATGAAAATGATTTCCCCCCCAAAATTCCCAAACATTTCCCTGCCCGTAGGCTTCTGGAAGCCCCTATATTTCCCTGTCCATTTATGTTCCCCATTCTTTCCCCACTACCAAGAAAAATCCCCATTTTGGGGACAAAATTCCTCAATTTGGGAGAACCCCCTGCGAGCCAACATTGAGTCAGTGCCACATCTCAGCATATGCTGCCATCTTACCAGATAAAACATTCACTATACTTGGCCATAGCACCTGACATGTTCAGGAGCACGGATAAGTCAGACAGTGAATCATTGAGCCTCTGTTTATTGTTGCAGGCTGGTGTGAGCATGAGGGCTATCGATTACTGTGCCATGACAGCCCTCCATTTTGCTGCTGGGAGCTCTCGGAGCGCAGGGTGTGTTCCTCTTCTTGTGGCAGCTGGTGCAAATGTGAATGCAAAGGACAAGTAGGTTGACAAAAGACAACTCGAAGGGAGTCGACTCTGTAAGGGTAGAAATCGAGCCAGCACTATGGGGAAAGATTGTGAAAAACATTCTTCAATAGAATTGTCTGTATTGATTTATGACTGGTAAGGGGTGTCATAATGAAATTATTGATAGTCAGTGCACAAAGCTGTACAGATTCTTCTTCTTCACTTTTCATTTATGTTTTGTGGTCGAAGTGATTTTTTTTTTTAAGTCACTGAAATGTATCCCATCTTCAGGTACAAAAATTCTGCCCCAGGGCCCCGTAAGTCAAGGGTTCTGATGAGGAAAAAATTAGTAAAAAACTGGAAAAGAAATTAGAACTCGAAAAAATCGTTAAGGTTAACATTTTTTAAGTAGTGGTATAGTTTAAGTAGTAGTCTCATATTTCATAAAATTTTCAAATAATTTTTATCTTGAATAATTAATTATGTGATTACTTATACAATAGAACTCTATGAAATAAATCAAGTAGTGTTAACATTAAAATATGTTCTACTGAAATTTATATTTATTATTTCCTGTGTTTAACAAGTGATTTTTTAAACACTTACTAAACCCATGTTTTTTTAGCATTTTAAGTTCACTGTGGAAATTGTATTATATGATCACTAAATAGTTTTACTTAAAACTATTATTTAAAATATATTTGCAAAAATGTTTTCTAGCTTAAACATAATTTTTGTTATTTGTTAAAATAAAATAACTCATATGTATAGAGTCTGGATACAACTTTCACATTTTAAATTTTTTTTTAGTTGGGGTGACGTTTTAGCATTGTCCAACACTCAAAATTTTCTAGCACCAACACTGCACCCAGCAAATGTCCATTAGCAGAAAGTGGTAATCTTTGACCCTCTTGCATGGCCTGGAAGTTTGTAACATTTAAATCTGAGACTCTCCGTTTTCTTATCAATTTATCCCATTAATATTTCTCTATTATTGTTCTTATATTTGTATCTTGGACAGAAGTCAGAATAAATAAATAAAGACATAAATAAATAAAGTTATCAATTTTCATCACAGCAGTGCATGTAGGCAAAGTTATGATTATTTTTGCCTGAATGCTTTATGTTTTGTATTTATTCTATTTACTATTACTATTTATTATGTTGTACTATTTTACTAGCATTAGGGACAATTTTCTTATCTAATTTTGATTTTAATATTTTAAATATAGTTTCAATTATATGTGAATTTTTATTTTTTATATTGCTCATATGCGGCTAGGCTTATTTTAAATATTGTTGATAATTTTGTTGCCTTTTGTTCTTTTTATTATATTTTTTTAAATACTACACTAAGTTTGCATTTATTAAATTAACAACATAAAAGTGGACTTATGGTGTGTATAATTTGAAATAAATAAATAAATAAAAAAGGAAATTGTTCCACAGGTTTGACATGACTCCTTTACACTACGCTGCGGCCTATGGCACTGCAGAAACAGTGAAACTTCTGCTCGAGGAAGGAGCTGATAGAGAAGCCTTGGACCAGTGGCACCGAACACCAGGTCATACAGTGTACAGCGAGTGTGACACTCGCGAGCGCAAGGAAGCAAGGGCTCCCATTTACTGGCTGCTAAATCCAGAAGGTACTCCACTCTTTCAGCACCCGTGCATGCAAAATAATACTTGCCTTAGAGGTCGTCCATGAATTGCGTAATGCCAAAGATGGAGGGAGGGGGTTGAGGCAGGCAGTGTTATGCTGCGTTGCATAGGAGTAGGGGACGTTAAGTTGGTGTTGCATAACATTACTTTTTTTTAACATTCGTGAAATAATTATTTTTCTTTTCATTGTTTCATTGATTTTTTTATTTAATCTGTATGATTATAAACAAAATATTCACAATTTAGAATCCAATTAAATTGGTGTAGTGACATTGAGGGCAAGTGAATGGCTTTGTTGTCAAACATTTTCACATCTATGCATTCTTCCTTCTCCTAAAAATTGACCCCAATCTAATTGTTAGGTGTAGACAACTAGTTCTGACTTCGATTACCACAAATTTTAATACATATATAACTCAAATAAAATTAATACAAATAATTTTTATCATTTCTTTTTTCTGTTTGTAAATGTGGAAAGGGATGTGGCTGCAAGTGCTACGTAATTATTTAGGTTGATTTTCAAGCACACATTATGGGTGTGTTGCAGGGGGGAGAGAGTGTATTCAAAATACTAAAAATTAGTGGTCCGTAATTTATGGATGGCCCCTTATTGATTGAAAGCATTGCTTCGCAGTGCATGCATGGCAAAATAGACTATGCAGCATGTGTACTTTGGAGACCTCTGATCGCTAGTTGCCAACCTCCTCGCATCCCTCCCAATAAAAGGTACATTTCTACTTGTAAATGTAATTCTCTTATATTGGCTGTGAAGCAGCTGCATATGCTTTATATTCATTTAGTAATTAGCTATTTTGCATTTTTATTTTTCGCATTGTGATGTGTGACCTGTGTGACTTATTTACTTTAGATAATTATTTGTAATTGTAAGGGCATGCCCCGTTAATAAATAAATTTTTTTTTTTCATAGACTACGTAGTGTATGTGGACTAGTCATTGTTTATATTCAGACACAGGCAAAGGAACTCTACTCTCGGATGTACTTTGATATTTGTTACAAATTCATTTTATTTTTGTGAGTAGGCGGTGGTGATGAGCAGACATGGGACAACATAGAAGAAGATTATCTATGGGATGTAGAGCCTCCCTTGCCTACTTCACAGCAGTGTCAACAGGATGTGAACGTCTTGAGACAGTTGGCATGTTTTGGAGATGTTACATTAAAGGAGGTAGAGGTTAATTTATTTATAAAAATAACATTCATCCTAATCTACCTTAAATATAATGACCAGAAAATCAATAGCGTGCTATAGGAATTGCAAATGCTATTGACGTTGTTCATTGCTAATTTTCATTTCAACGTGTTCAAAATGCAAACATCCGCGAACATGCATGCTGTTTAAGGGCTCTGTGCTCTTGAGACTTGTTTTCAAAATTCTTAAAGTTTCAAGAAACCAAAAAATTAATGAAATAAGCCAAGATCAATTTAATAATTACACAGAGGTAACTCCAAGAGATCTCTAACTACTTAACTCCTGTGACTTCATGGAGCTTAGTTAAGAATTACGACTATTCAACAATATAGCTGATGCTGGTGCTGCCTATTCAATTTATTAATTTATCTAAATAGTCAAAAACATCTTTAAAATCAAAATTTAAATGGTGGACTCCAAAATCTTCCCCTTAGTAAAGCAAGGGACAGTTTATACTATATTGTTGCTAGGATTAATACTCTTTGTTGTTGTTGTTGGCCACAGATCAAGATTGTACTGAATCGAAGTCCTCCCCTGGTGTTTTCATACTCTGCGTGCAAAGCCCTCCAGACATGTGCAGAGATGGGCAGGCTGGAAATAATAAACGCTTTCTTGAAGAAAGGTGCCAGCCCCCACATTCGAGAGTGTGACTTCTGCTCAGATGAAGTTTTTGAGCCATTTGTTGATCCGGGCTACTTAACAAGCAGTTGCAACGATTGGCCCCTTATCCACATTGCGGCAGCTGCGGGACAAGTGCAGGTGGGGTGGATTTTATTTGTACATTAGAGTAAGCTTTGAACAGGCTGAATTCACTTATTTATTGACTACAGACTTTTGGCCAAATACAAAATAATTAAAACTAACATAATGATTGTGGGGCCAATATTGATGTTCTCATCTGGAGTCTGGTCTCCTGATTTTCGATACCACATAGTCAAATTAGAAACCATTCAACATAAGTTGCATAGTATTGCCCGAATTCCTTTAGAAGTCTTAGAAATTTAAATAATATATTATTTATATTTAAATTTTTGAATGGAGTGATTGATGGCTCAATTCTTTTGAATCAATTGAAGTTCAGAGTTCTATTGCAGTCATTAAGACAAAACACCACATTTGTTAATGAAATGAATTCACAGACATGTACAGAAAATTGCCCGCTAAATAGAATGTGTAAACTTTTCAATTATAGTTCTCTAAATGCATTTCATATTGGATCAATTATGTTTGTAGCTCAAGCTAAACACAGAACACTTGTACAGGAAAACTCTGTTTTTACGTTTCCGCACTTTACATTTTCCTGTCTTTTACGCAATTTTTAATTGGTCCCATCCCATCCCCAAAGCTTACATTTACAATGGATTCTCTTCCCACAACTAACAACTTGATATAAAGAGTACTTTTCGTCTTTTGGGTCTTTTTTGGAAATATTTATTTTATTTTTTTCTTGAATGCGTATGTATTGTACCTAGTGCAGATAAAGTTATGTAATGCTGCATGAAAACACTGAGATTTTTTGACCGAAAAACTCGTACTGATCCAGAAAAAGTGGATAAATCCTGTTCCAGTATGTAGTAAATTACTACATGTGTGTGTAAAGATCTTGCAAAAGCCTCGAGTTCATTCAGATCAATCGGTTTATATCAATTTTGGAGAAAATCAGCAGGTGGTTTAGGCGCTTGTGTTGACTACTGACGGGCAAAAAGATGTTTTGCGATTTTGCGGTTTCCGGTTTTGAGGTCCTGTAAAACAGGGATTCAGGCTACACCAAGTGTTAGAGAAAGTAATTTACTATGTATAGGAAAATTATTTATCCACCTTTTTATTGCCAAGACCTTCAGTAAAATTCAATTTTCTGATAAAATTCACCATTCCCGCGCACACTTTGACTTTCTCTTTTTACGAAGGGTGAGGAAGTAAAAGCAGAGCTACCATCGCAGTAAATAATGAAAGTACTTGCCTAGCCTATCATTTTCAGCTTTCCTGTATTTTCCACTTTCTTGCATTTTACACTTTTTTTCATCGGTCTCCTGGAAAGAATAAAAAAGGCGTTTTACATTATATGAATAATTGTATCAGCGAATTCATTTACCTATTGTCTACTATTTATTTGAAATCTTATTGTTAAGTAATGGACTTCAAAAGGCTGGTAATATGTGTCTCATTAGAAAGATATGTTCGAATATCAAACAATATTTCATTCAAGAATACTCTAAAACTTCAGTTTTAAGAAAATTTGTAAGCGCACACATTTTCCAGTCTTAATACATCAAATTTCAGATTGTTAACATAGTTACACATTCTGGTGACTGGGTTGTGCACCGTGTGTAATATACATACTGAAGAATATTCATAGAAGATTTACATATTGATTTCTTTCAATAATACATTGCTTATTTCATTATATTGAATTACATGTAGTTTAAAAATATGTATGGACTGTTTTATCATGTTATTACTTCGTTATGTAGGTTTCAAGAAAAATACCAGTAAAACAAATTTGCCTCCTTAATCATGATGAATAATTTCTTATAACTTCTTGTTTTCCAGACTGTTGATACGTTACTTGCCGCCAAGGCCTCCAAGAAGCGAGTATGGGTACCAGAGTATGCAGACCCCTTTGGCCCTTTAGAAGCTGCCGCAGCAAATGGCCACCTGGCAATGGTGAAGTACCTGCTTTATTCTGGCTGCGTGACAGATCGCGAGCAGGTGGATGGTGCCCTTCGGTTGGCAGTGACACCGAAAGGTTGGCAGGCTGGCTGCAAGAACTGGGTGGAGGAGACGCAAGTGAGGATCGCACGGACTCTGTTGGATGCTGGGGCGGATCCAAACGCTCGAGACTTGTTTGGTAGGCTCAACTTAAACCTTAGTTACGATCGTTGGGTGTTGGCTCTTCTGATTCGTGTCTGGTCAGATGAAACTAGGGCTAGTGGGTTGAAGCCTGGGGAAGGAGCTAAAAATATTTATTTATTTGCAACAGGCAGTTGTCCAGTTTCAATTTATATGCAGTAGTAAGCAAGTAAATTAATCATTTATTATAATCATTCAAAAAATATAATTTCACCAGATGCTTGAAACAGGATCAGATTTATCTAGATCAATAATCATACCATTGTAGGTTTTCAACATTCTCCATGATGGGGCATTACAATGCTGTAGGGACATAAAAAAAATTATTTTACTGGAGGGTCATAAAAAATGTCTTGATTATCAAGATGGTTTTGTGTAGTTACTTTCCATTTGATTTCCGCTAATAGTTGCATACAATCAACTTTGTCCTCAGTTCAAACTTATACGAGACTTTAGGGAACTAAAATCCAACATCTTTGCTATAAGCTCATAGTTATGAGTCATTCTAGGTGATGGTACTTGCAGTTTCCACGCCGTGAAATAAAAAAAAAGTTCTATGTCCTTTCTATACGTCTGATAAAATGGTGACCAAACTGAAGAACAATAGAAGAACATTGGCTTAAACAAGGTAAAATATAATATTTTAAATGTTTTTGGATCTCTAAAATGAGTAGAGTGCGTCTAACAAAACAAAGCATTCTATTTGCCTTGGTAATTGCCATATGTTTGTCCCCTTTAAGGTTTTTATTAAATATAACTTCAAGGTCCCTCATATTGTCAACCCTTTCCAAAATTACTCTATTCAAATGATAAGGACATTGCACGTAATTCCTCGGTTTTTATGAATGGCGTAGTTTTCATTTATTAATATTTGAATTTAATTTATTATTTTCACACCAATTTCATATAATTTAAATTCATTTGCAAATCAAGGCTATCATTCGATGTCACAAAACTTCACTATACAATTTTAAATCATCTGCAAACAACAGGAAATTACAAGAAATACATTTTTTATATCATTGAAAATCATGAAATACAAACAGTGAAACCCATCTTAAGCAGTTATTGATGTTTCTGGAGCAGGGTTGAGGAATTTTGTCCCCAAAATGGAGGTTTTTTTTTAGTTATGGAGGGAAAAATAGGAACATAAATGGATGGAGAAACGTTTGGGGAATTTTCGGGGAAATTAATTTAATTAAGAGTCGACATAGAAATATTATTCCGTCAATTATTATGAATAAAACATGTGTTATTCTCATGTTTATGTATGAAAAAGAGAAAAATTAACCACAGGCTTTGAGAAAGAAAGACACGAGATAAATGAAGATAGTATCAGCTTTCGAGGAGCTCAAAATATGATGATTGGTTGATTAGAATTATTTGAATTTAACAGAACAGCCAATGGAAACATCATGTTCATGTCGTTTGTCCATAATTTGTAGAATATTTTTCATTTCAAAGTTGGGCAATTTTATTTCATTTGTGAGGTTATGTAGGAAAAGATCTTGCAACCCACCTGGCAACCAGGTTCTGGAGAAAAATAGTAGTTATCATAGTTGCCTGCTTAATGGAGGTAATGAGATTATGAGATGTCTTTTGGTCTTGTTTTGTTTGGAATGATGGTAAATGTACATTGGTTGTTAACATATTTCTAAGTACAAAACATGAATTACTTTTTGGACAAGGGCACTTAAAAAGAAACCTCGTATACAAAATTATTCAATTTCCAGCACTTGCGCTATTCTCCCCCCCCCCATTGGTTGTATCTTTCCATGTGTGAACTTAATTCCCAAGTAGATTTGAAACTGCAATTCATACACACGAAATTGTAAGATTCTGCCCGAAAATCATGTACAGGTGAACCAAACAAATGTCCCCAAAAATTCCACAAGAAATTTGACCATCTTACATGGGTTAATCTGAAAATTGAACCTGGTCTCTATGAGCAAGACCTGGTGACTGCTTAAAAGAGGGAACATTTAATTAACATTCCCATATCTTATGGGAAAATCAATTGGTATGACAAAAATGAAGGTTGGCCAGTAAAATAGCTGTCAAGTGTGGAGGTGGCTGTTTCAGCAGGTTTCACCAAAACTGGAGGGGGTTTGCCTACACTCTTAATCTTGAGAATTCAAGGTCCTTTACAGGAACTGGTATCACTTGCTTAACTATGTTTCACTGGAACTGGTGTCAGTTGCTTAACTATGGTCCGTGAAGCCACAGAGTTACGTAATTCGAGACAATGCACATTCCTGGATGGGTGACTGGAAACCTCAGGATCAAACAGTGCAGAGCTCTTGAAGGGATAAAAGGCAGTGACTGACTACGACACACGATGACTGACTAGATTAAAAGAGGATTACTCCATTATACACTCAATGCCAGTGAGTGGCTGTAATATAACATTGTTTCAAATTAACAGAACTGGTATACATAACTGTGGAGTAAAAGGCCATGACGGTAGGGCTTATCTTGTGAATCTGAAGGACAAGGTCTTCCATGACTGTCCATCCCTCCAATGCGTTTTCAGTTTAGTAGGTGCATATGAGAGCAATTGGCACAATGCAATAAAAACACTTGCTGCAGAAACCCTTCCTTTCATTTTTTTAAAATTATTATTTATTTTTATGCTAATTTTGAGATATGTTGATCACATGATGTAATACATGTGGATGAATTGACTGGTATGAAAATCCCTGATGTCTGCCATGAACTGTGGGTGTAACATTTGGATAAAATTTTCGTTTGGTGCAAAATCGAGTGTGAAGTGATTCAGTTTCGTTTCCTTCTTCTCCTGTAAAGTCATGGTGAGAGAACACGAGGGGTTTCTACCCCAAGCAATTCAATTATTAAATGACACCATATGATTGGGGCCCTCTGTATGGCACAGTCATCCTCCAATAGCTTGAGCCATCACTAGTGCCAAAGGAGCGGAGTCATTATGTTGAGTGATGGAAAAAAGTTGCCTTGCTGCTCCTAACGGCAAAGGTGGGGGTAGAGCTGTGTATTAAAATTTTAGCAAGTGCCTCAAAGATTTTTGCTGCACAGTTCAGTTACAGATTTGATTTCAATTGGGGTTGATATTTTGCAACTCAGTGCTATTATGACAATTAAGGGGTGCATAGGTTTGCAAGTGTTTCTGAGAGTTGATCTTAATACTTTGACTGCCATTGCTGAAAACCCTGAGCAAATTTCTCTTAACTATTTAACTTTTGTGTGACTGAGGTCAACGCTCCCTATAGAATGATTATCTCTTAATAATCGTTCTGTCTGTCAGAGTTGACAGCTCAACTTTTTTAATTCCTAACGAAGGCACAATGTTCTGTAAGGCCACTTTGACCACATAATGTGCAGAAAAGCATTGCCTGTGATACACAGGAGGCTCTTGGGGCTTTGAGATTAAATGTGCATTTGAGGTGCACACCAGGAGGCTCGTAGGGCCTGAAATAAAAGAATCACAAGTGGCACACGAAGTGTGATTAGTACCATGAGCCACATGTGACATGTGGCTACTACAGCAGTCAGTGTTAATGCCATAGACTCAGTGTGTGGGGAAACTTGAAAAAGAAATAATAATAAAAATGAAAGCAATTCTTTTCCAAAAGTTATAATTAGAGCTGGAAAGTTCATGCAAGCTTTTGGCTTTGAAATATGCCTACAAATATCCCACAAAAATGTTGAAATATTCACAGAAATTGTTAAGATGAGCAGCATTTGGTTGTGGAAACGTATGTTTAAATATTATTACATCTTTTTGCCACCTAGAGAAACAGAATAAGCAAGGGAGGGATGAAGATGCTTTCTGTAGGGGAAGGTTTGGGAAAGAGGTTGTCTCACCATGTGTGGTCGGTCTGAGGATGTCAAAAGAGAGTGGGGTGTCAAGTCTTGGCAATAAACCGATGACAACCGGTTACAGCAGATATTACTTCAGCAATGTTGCATGAATTGCAGTAATGTATTTGAAGCAACACGGAATTTCATGATTTGCATTAATAGTTCTTTTTTACTTGGAAATTATTTTAGTGTTATTTTAGGCAAAAAATGAAAAAATATGCAAAACATTCAATTACTTGCCAAAAATCTATAAATATGCAAACATATATACATTATATGCTAAACATTTCTTACTTTATTTTCAATATTTTGCCATGAAAATATACATATTTAAAGTTCCAGGAAAATATGACCACTAACAAAAAACATGCACTTGCTTGCACTTCCCAACTCTATACTGCAATTTATTTACAGCTGCCTCAGACGTCATCAGCTGCTACGATGTCACCCAACTTGGAGCTGACAAATCACTACAGTGACATCACTATGGTGATGTTCAACCTTCTGATTGGATGACACCGTAACAGCTGATTTACATCAGAGGCAGCTTAGTTATAATGTTAGGAGTGTCATAATCTTACCCAAAGATCATAATCTCCAAGTGTTTGCACTTGAGTTGTAACGTTAATGACTCTACTGAGAGTGCAGTCCCATTGCTAGCCCCTGAACTGAGAAATTTGTGTCTTTTTTGAGGTCACCAAGTACAGGCAAGTGTGATAAAAGAGTAACGTATATATTGGTGCCTGTGCGCACCTGGAAATTTCCATCCCTCACTACCATCATCACTGGCTGGATTGACTGTCAAAGTAGCAAATCTACACAAGGTTGGTAATATTTGCAGCCCATGATTGGGAAGTTGCCAGTGAATGAAATGCGGTGCAACTTTAAGTTTAACCTTTCTGCTATTGTAGGTGACACAGAACTAGACGAAGCGATGTGTGATTGTTTATGAATGTTCCTCATGTTGCTGAATTGATGTACAGTAATTAGTATAGTATTGTAAAATTGCTCATGCGAGTTTTCTTGATACACAAGCTCCTTACTTCTGGCCCAGTATTGAACTGCATGGCTCGTTATGGTACTATGGTCCAACTCGGAATGCATCGTACCAACTTACAATGCTGCCAACATCCACCCCCTATTTTCAAAATAACTGTTATTTCTCAGAAAACCCTCCTCTCCCTGCACTGCCTGCTGTGGAATATCAAGAAAACTTGCGCATATAGTGCATCACTTGAGAGATGTAGCATGTCACATGTAGCATATATAAAATTGCAATAGCGGTTGCAATTTTGCGAGCAGTGTTGCCAGTTGGTGATTATCTACCCTCTTATTCTTGCAGCCCATAGAGCCAAGTGTCAAATTTGCTCGCATAGCTCATACTCAAGATATGTAGTGTGAATAAGTTGTTTTAAATTTCAAAAGGAAGAAACTTTTGCAGTAAAAAAACTTCATTCTCTGTAAAAATAAAAGATATGTCCTTCCTATAAAATACTACAGCAAAATGTTGTAAGGACTGTTTTACATTGCGATAATAATGGCAAATAAGTGCATTAGCGTACATGCTAATGAATGTGTGCGACACCTTCTACATTTGATGACATGAAGAACAATCTTAACAACCGTACCACACCTTAATACATCTATTTCTGTCTCTCCTGCAATAGTGTATTTGCTTGAGAATGTGTGATGAGATGAAGAATAGTTTCTTTTCTTCCTTTCCTGCTGACTTTTTTGTTTTTTTGTCCTATCCCTTTCCCTTTTTCTATCTTTTTCTTTTCTCTTTTCTTTCTTCCTTTGTGTGTTGTCATAAACATCCGGAATTGGTCTTATTTATTGTGATTCTGCAATTAAATTTCACATTAACTTCAAAGGCCTAAAAATTTGTTTCAATTGCTAGAAATTTTAAAACAAAATATGAGGAGCTTCCAGCACGTTAACTTTCACTAGGTCATCAACAAAAAGAAAAGACAATTTTGTGGAAAAACTTTATTGTGGCAGATATAGCACGTGTTCTGTATTTTTCCTCAACATTTCCACCAGAATCAGGACATTTGTTATATCATGGGATCAACATTTGTATCCCTGCATTGTAGAAGTTTGCTGCCTGGAATAGGTACAAGTGTTTGGTAGCCACCTATGGCACTGTGATTTGCATAATGCTGACCAAACGGAGATTGGTGTTTATGTCATCTCCAGGGGTCATTATCCAAGTGCACCTCTTTAAGAACTAATTTAATTGGTAATAAAAAGGTTAAAATCTTCAGTTTTAAAGGAATTGTGTGACTAGACATTCACAGGCCCTCTAGACTGGATCTGCATTCCACCATGATTTTCTTTTTTTTTCTCACCAAATATTTCTATGAATTCCTCACATCATATAATTATCGAAACACATTTTCTCTGATCATGACATTGTGTTACAAGGAATCGGTATTTAAAAATTTTACCTCAGAATAACTTGAATACATTTTTGTAAATGAAATTGATAAAATCAAAGGGGTTGGCAGGTTCAGAAAATTGGGATACTGGAAGAAGTTTATCTAATATTAGAACTTCATTTTCAATGCAGTTTATTTAACTGGCTTACAAAACTAATGATACAAGCATTTTTAACAGTGTTTTATGTATATAAATGTATTCGTCTCAATATTGTATTGTCAACCATGCTGTTCAATAGTACCTGTTTGAGGCAATAGGCTGTGTGCTGGAAAAACTACATTTGATAGTTAATTTGTCAATGATTTTTCTGTCCACAATGACAAATATAGCAGAAACTTGCGCAACTGTAATGCAATTTTCCTTGATACAACGGTAACTTCTTCTGGCTGGGGCGTGCCTCCCTTTTCATGAAGAGATTCTAACCCTTTTCTTGCATCGATCCCTTTCAAGAGAAAGGTGTGCTTCATTAACCTCCTTCAGTTTCTTTCTACAGCATCCAGCATACAACATAATTACAAAGCAAAAAAAATATTGTAAGTACATGACTTAAAAGACAAAAGTTAAACAGAGAATATGAATGAAACTTTTGAAAAAAAATATTTATTATATTTATGTTTTATTATCATTGAACAAATTATAATTGTACAAAAGTTCTATTTAATTAATAGGAATGATTGGAAATTTTCAAAGAGAAGCAAATTTGAAATTAATTGTTTTGACATTTAGCATAGAAAAACAATTAATTATTAATATCTTTTAATTAAATGCTAATATATTATTGTAATCAATGTGCTCTTCAACTATCTTACACTGGTTGGTGCCCTTGACCATTGTTGATCCCCTTTAAAATTTTGACTTTTGGAGTGTACCCCTTTAGGAACCCCTGCTCTAACTTGATTAGTAAACAATGTTGAAATCTTCAGTTTTTAAGGAATTATGTGGCTAGACAGTTCACAGGTCCTCTGGTCAGCATATGTGTTCCACCTCGATATTGTCTTATTTCTTACCAAATGTTTCTCTGAACTCCATACATCATATAATTTTCAATACACTCTGATCATAATTTGCCTGCCTGTTAAACAATATGTTCTAAATATAAATCATTTTTAATAAGTTGTTAAATCCTCTTTTTTTTTGATTCCTTTATTGGATTACTAATTTTTGTGCATTTTAACTTTTTTGTTGCACTAAATTTTTGCATTTAATATTTAAACTAATATAATATACTTAAATGAATGTTATCTCTTGTTTAATTAATAATTTAAGAGAGCTTAATCCTTTGTGCTCCTATGTTTAATGGGACTTGACATTCCAAAAGAAGTCTTCCTCTCCAATGTTGAGTCTTACTCGACAAATAGTTTTCTTTCATTTCTGAGCTCCATATTTGTTTAAATTTCAAGAGTATCCACACAGCTGTGACATAAGCAATTGGAAGAAGTCTAACATTCCCATTGTTGTATAATTTATTATTGTTAGACATTTTATTAGGTTACTATTAGATTAAACTGAACAAAAGTCTGGTGTATCTCATTACAAAGCTCATGGGCTGATGTCTACAGTGTAACAAGCCAAACAGGAAACTAGAGTTTCAGTTCTGTTTGCTTTCCAAAAATTTTTAGATAACCATACTTCTAACATAATATCAAGTGCAAACAGTGCATACATGTATTGTGTTTGTTGTTACAACATTTCAGTTCGTAAGAAGTTAATTGGACTATTATCTGTAGTGATGTAAACCAAACTTGTTTTCATTGATTCCAAACAAAAAATGCTCTACACTTCTGCTGCCTTGTTAGTACCACAATGGCATAACACTTATTTTTAAATAAAAATCCCATATTACTTAAAAGAGTTAGGAGCACAAAGGGTTAAAAGTCTTTTGATACAGAGTTTGTTTTATGGTACTAAAAATTCATTTCAGGCCATTCACCAGTTCATGGAGCTGCTTATTGCGGCTGGTCAAAGTGCTTATCTTTGCTTATTAGAAGAGGAAGTAAAGTGCTGGCAGAAACACAGAATGGGAAAACCGCACTCCATATTGCTGCTTGCGGCAGACACATAGTTTGCATCTCTCTTTTGATAAAAGCAAGAGCCAACGTCTCCTCTAAGGATTGTCTTGGCCAGACTCCTCTTCATTATGTGGCAGAGGGGTTGATGCAGAGTGATTGGGCTCAAACCCAGTGTTCAGAGGATGACGGCGCAGAGATTGTGAAAGCTCTGGTGGATGCTGGTGCAGATGTAAATTGTCATGACAAAAATGGAGTAACAGCGTTGCACCTTGCTGCCAAATCAGGCAGCTTTGCTGTAGTTGAAGCGTTGTTGAATGCTGGTGCTTTAATCAATGCCAAGGACAGGTATGAACTTCATGGTATGAGTTGAGCAGGAAAATAATTAACCTGGTTGATTCGGTACATCCTTTCTGGTTCCCAAAGAATGTTATTCCATCACCATGCCTTGAGGTGGCTCAACGCATCAATTGACTGGGAGGTCCTAGGTTCTATTCCCAATGGGAGCAGGATTTTCAGCACTAACTAGATAGCTAGGTCAAGTTCAGTTGCTGTCTGGGAGGAAATTCTTGCAGTTGGCTGCTATGACTGGTAGTTTTCCCTGGTTTCTCCAATCAAAACCAGGCGAGTGCCAGAACAGTACCCTAACCAATAGGGCTATGTGATATTTCCTTTCCCCTTCATTGTCCTATCCTCACCCCTTACACACACACACAGTCTATCACATATGTTGGAGGACCAGTTGGGAGCTTAGAGCTTGTCCTGGCTGGGGCTGCTCCTCTTATGGGTGATGTCTGGTTGGGGAAATTCCAGCTTGTAGACCAGTGACAGATCTCAACATCCAGCAGAGGAAGATCACTGCCCCCTCCTGTAATAAAAAAACCTTAGCAGTTGATGCACTCGGTATCACTAATCAATCAATTGATCAAATGGAAAATCTGAGAACGATGTTTACAAAATGGTGATGTGTAAAGCTGGTTCAATAGCACATGTTGCCATCACCTTGAGTCCTAATCTGTGATTAATGGATTTTAATGTGATTGGATGAAAACGGTATCAAACCACTGACATTTCTCACAAAACTTGTCCATTAGAAAAATGAGCAATAAAAACAATATTATATTTTTTGTCTTATGTGCAAGTTTGTGTCGATAGCAATTGACAGGTGAACAATAAATGTTGTCGAGTTTGAATAAAACAGACTGTACTTTGTTGTGTGACAGTGCTGCTACTTCAGCCAGGTCAATTATTTTTGTGGTTGACTATTACTTGCTTTTTTAATTCCTTGTTTGTAACTGCAGTGAAATCATTTAAAATAGAGGTTCTCAAACTGTGGGTGATGACTCTGGGTGGGATGCAATTTTTGGAAATTTTGATTTGATGTTGTAGTTATTGGTAAAGCAGTAGGAAAACTTTAAAATTAGTATATTTTATTTTTAAACTACATTGAATTACAGACACAAATCTGCAAGGTTTTGTCTTAAATAAAAAATCAATATGTTTTATTTCGTTTTAATGTTGATTTGTCATGGTCGTAAAACGGTAATATAAAATAAATTTAATGGCTTTGTTTTAAATTTTGTATTATCCTGTACTTGCTTTTTATGAAAAAATGTCGACAGGTATAACAAAAGTATGTGCAGGTATAGATTACATTATACAGGATGCGGCCTTATCGAAATCCTCTCTGGATTGTTTCTTCCTGTTGAGGACAGATATACTAAAGCGCAGTAATGTTTGTAGTCAAAGTTATGAAAATCTGCCTGAAGAGACCATGATTGTTGATTGTGCGACTACAATGTGGCACTGGTAAACAAATTGCTTAACTACACTCCGCAGATCCACAGGGAGGTTAAGCAATTCGCGACTCTATGGTTTCCTCCTTGGATGACTGTCTGGGAACCCCAGGGATCTAACAGGGCTGATCTCCTGGCCAAAGGGATAAAAGGTACTGACTAAGACTAAGACTATTGAAGACTGATTAATTTAATTAAGAGGATTATTCCATGTTGGGTGCCAGCAAATGCTTAAGAAAATGTTCTTAGCAAGAAACTCTGACTTTCTGATCAGTCCTATACTGACGCCATTTTGTCTGGAGAACACAATTGAGTGAGGGGGATGAAGAGCACATCACGGAATAAATTTGCAATATTGAAGGAAAATGTTTTAAGAGAGTAGACATGTGTAAGCATGTTGGCAGTGTTTTTCTACCTTTTTTGGTTACATATTGATAGTTCACTGTGGAATGATTGTGTAAACTGGTCAGTTGAGACTAAATTGATTAACTGTAATTCTTTGTATGCGATTTGTAGTATTTACTGTGAGATCAGAGCCTGCAGCTGACTGACTTATTTTGAGGTTAAATCTGTTAACTTCTTTCGAGATATATCACTTCCTTCGACTGACCTAATTTAGGTGCAGATCCACAGGGAGGGAAATGAGGGAAATTTCCCCCCTTAAAATTTTTATCTTGTCAGGAAACTTTCAAGCAAAAATATTTTCAGATAATCATTAAAACAAATAGGATATCTGAATAAGAAACAAATAGGATATCGGAAACGAATATCGCAATGTGAGCTGAGTGTAGCCTAAGACACAATACAAAATCTGTTATATGACACATTTGACCAAAACGTTTTGTATCTCCACTCCCAAAATTTGTCTCTGGATCCACCCCTGCCTAATTATATAATTTTAGCTGTGATCTACTGCTATATTATGACATACCAGTTTGTTAATTCAAATTGATTAATTTGTTTGGTGGACTGAATAGCTGAACCGATTTTTTGACAGGAATAGTTTTTAAGGACTTATAGTTTTGTTTCTTATTGTATGTTTTGTTGTACATTCTGTGAAAAAGAAAAATGCCCGATTCAGAAATAAATTGCAATATTTGCTAAAAAAAATTATTTATATAAATGTCATCTAAATTTTCTGTCCATGATAACAGTGAATGTCTTGTTCATTACGAATGTGTTCAAATAATTAGCATTGAACAAAATAGTATTGAATAGAAAATAAATAGACAATTGAAATATTTTTAACATGATTGCTCTAAAGGCTTCAAAAGTGTTATAACCATTTTGAAATCACTAAAAAAAACTATTAAGACTAAATTGAAGGATCCTGATACATTTATGAGGGATATAAAAGAATTCCAAATGGAGAAGAGGAAAAAAAGAAGAATTGGGTGTAAGCAATGAAAACATTCACAAATTTGAAACTAATAAGACTGATAGAAACCTAAATGATCCATTGACAAAATATCTGAAAGAGAACAAATCCAAAAAATATTATTTTGTATGATCTGAAGGTTTCTGATGATCTCTTTGAACTATAAGAAATGAGAAACTTGCGAGTTTATGCATGGCAATCTCACAGATTGTCTACCTTCGAAATATAAAAGGATCAAAAAATGTAATTTGGTTTTGCATAAACTTAAGTTTATTGGAAAAAATAAAATCTTGGCAATTCAATGAAGGCAATGCACTAGAATGGATTTTTTGAAAAATTTATTGCTCTCTTGTATATTTGCATTATTCAAGTCTGTGCTTGAATCCTTAGCCAATCTTCGAGACAAACTGTGGTACCTCATGAGTTTAGTAGTATAATAGATAATAGTATATTTCATAATTAACCAGTATATGATACAAACAATGCAGAAAATATTAAAGTTTAATAAGATTAGGCATGGGGATCTGGCTGAAACAAAACTTCTCTGGAACTTGCAGTGGGCCGTTGCTGAAGTAATTCACAGTACTGAAATTATGGTACTCTAAATATTGATCTCTAGGCAGGAAATAAAGATGGCAACTCATTAATACTAACTGCTTTTACACAGCAAAAGAAAAAGTACCACTGTGAATCATGAGATCACACTTGGCTAATGAAAGGTTAATTACAATTCCACTGTCTAATTTAAGTCTTTTCATTCGGAATTTTTTGAAAATTTGAATGCTCTCAAACTTATGTATTTTTTATTTATTTATTTATTTTATTGGATATCCCTTGAATACAGTAATTACAATGTAAGTGTGTAGTTTACATATTGCTTGAAGTATGTATAAAATGAAAAGAAATAGTAGTAGACTAATAATACCAATTAGTGATCAATTACAATATTATTTACAAGTTTTCTATAGCATGAAGTAGAAGTGATGAAAAAGTCTATTGGGTTGCAGTATTTGTTAGCTAAAGATAGAAGTCTGTTGAATGTGTTGTTGTCACCATAATCACTAGTGAGCGGGTTTCCATGATTTTGCATATTTTTGTCCATTGTTTCAGGACATTGCTAAGTGAAATTTCTTTACATTTAGATAGAATTGGAAGCTATGTAGATTAATATGTTTTTCTTGTTGCATATTCGTGTAATTGTAGGAGTGTATTTTGCATATTTTGGAAAAATAGAAATTTATCTCCAAAATGGAATATATATTATGTTTGCACAGAAATATATATGTATTTTTTCCAAGCATGTGCATGGAATTCCACAAATGAAATATTGGTAATTTTTAATAGCAAAGAGGAAATTAAATATTGCCAATTTTTAATTGCATATTTAATAATTTTTTGATCATAAATACATATTTTTAAAAGCATATACAAGATTTTAGGGGATATAAATCCTCTCCTTAATAATCACTATTACAACATTTTAGAAAGAAAGTCTGACTTTTTCTAGTAGTTTTTGCAGAATGAAGAGTCCAATGTTTATCTCCACTTCTTTTTTTTCTCGCTGTCTCCCAGGAACAGCAGAACCCCACTGCACTATGCTGCAGATGCAGGAGCAGATCGCGTAGTGGACAAACTTATCAAATCAGGTGCTGACACAAACGCCAAAGATCACAGTGGGTGCATTCCACATGACCATCCTAAAACGAATTCCGCATCATTAGAGAGATCTGATGCAGAGAGAGAGCTTGAAAATGAAGATTCAGAAGAGTCGGAGCGAAGTTGGTGTGGTATTTGTAGTGGCGATGAGTGGGTAGAAGTGGAAAGCAGTGGAGACGATTCAGATGATTGGGAACTGGAATGTTATCGGTGGGTGAAGGAGTTGTGCAAACGTTCTAGTGATAAGGAAGACAGAGAGGAAATTGTGGAAAGTCAGTTGAAGCAAAATACAGAATGCAAGCCAAATGAAGCCAAGAAATCAGAACAAGACATTTTACTGAAGTCATTGCGGGAGGTGGAAACTGAATCAGAAGATGAAGAATCAGATGATGACTGTGCATTGGATGAAGGTGAAGAGGTTGATGAGTTCACGAAGGCGATGAAGAATCGAGAGAAAATCAGTAAGTTAAGTATTAAGTTGCGACTTCGTGGTTATGTTGACTCCGATGCAGAATTTGAAAGTCGGCCTGATGAAGACGCAAAGCATACTTACCTACCTCCAGGTGCTGTTTCAGATCCAAATGCTCTGTGGTACAATAAGCAATGGATCAAAGAAAATGAAGTCTGTAATGACAATGCTAGTCAGAAGCCTAGTGAGGTGGTGTCAAAGAGTGAAGCTGACTGCCAAACAGAAGGCAAGGTTGATTCAAGACTGAAAGATTCACTTCTAAGCGAGACTGATCACAGCAGAAAAGTGAAGAGAGAGGCTGAGGGCAAAAAAGAATGTGAGAAAGGGCAGAGTAATTCTGTTCAGGACACCCAAGAGGCACCAGTTAATCAGGAAAGGGATAGCCAAAGAGATAAAAGAATGAAAGATGAACATGAGTTCACAAAGGAGTTAAGAATAAAGGTGGAGTTGGATGATGATGACGACGACGACGATGATGAGGAGGATGATGATGATGATGATGACGACGATGATGATGAACAGGACATTCCCTATGTTTCTGGTGCTTGGACTGTACCTCAGCAAAGTGAGAAAGTTGGAAATGAAGAAAACGACATGTGGGATAGAAGAGATAGCAAATGGAGGAAAGGTGAGGGTTCCTCTGGCACCCTCGGATTCCGAGTAGAAAGCAATGCGGCTTGTTGGCGAGCAGAAAGCACTAGCAGCAGCAACCTCCTTGGAAGAGAAGAGGAGGTGGAGAAAGGGGAGAGGAGGAGAGGTGGTGTGTGGCTCAGATTGGGGAAAAGATCTACAGATGGTGACAGCGACAGCCCTCACAACAGCATAGTTGTGACCAGGGTTCTAAGTGAAAATGATGAAAGAACTTTGAGATATGTCGAAGAAAACAGTCTGGAAGAATGGGAGACAAAAAGAAAGCAAGAAGGAAAATACAAGAGGCAAATGTACAGCCAGCAAAGAAGATTTGCAGGGGAAAGCAAAAATTGGGAAAGATGTGAGGCTTATGAACCAGATTCGCCAGGCTTAGAAGAAGGATACAGTCGCAGACTTCAGAATGAAGTGGTATCCACGCATCAGCTGGATGAAAGTTTTAGCTTAACTGAACGTTGGGTGAGTGTGTGTTCTGAATCTAGTGAGCGAATAGTGTATGTACAAGACCCTAGGGAGAGCATCAAAACGAGAGATGAGCAGAACACATCTGGTGACTTGCGTAATTGGTGCGAAAGACCACTTGACCCGACGGAGAGCGGTGGGTGTGACGAGGGTAGTTTGGAGGAATTGCAATCTGGAATCAGAAGCAACTTGTTTGAAGTGCAAGAGAGTGGCCGGGGAAGAGAGAGGCATTGTAGTGGTAAGGGATACGAAAGAGAGGCTTTCGAGAAGCATGGTGAAGAGAGACGTTTGTTTGGTGTCAAGGCAGAAAGAGGGCATAGATTCAGGGGTGCCCAGGCCAAACAAGAGGAAAATGACTGGAAAACAAAAAAAGTGCAGAACGTATTTAGACCCTGTGCAGAAGAAGATGCAATAGAGAAACTCTATGGTTGGGAAGAACAAATCAGCCATACAAGCATAAGGGCACAAGATGATCATAAAGGGTCTCGTCAAAATGAAGGACTTAGCAGGAACTGTAGCTATAGAAGTTATAATCAGGGGCGAGATAACAGCTCTACAGCAAGTTATGATTGGGAAAGACAAGATCTATTGGATATACAGGAAAGGAAAAAGAGATATGGGTCTCATGAGAGAGTAAGTTTTGAATGCGGAACACACAGAGATTTTGGAGAAAGATGCAATGAATTCGAGAGGTTAAGTGATGAAACAGGAAATAAAAGTAGGTCTCATGAGAGAGTGAGTTTTGAACACGGAAGACAAAGAGGTTTTAGAGAAAGACACAATGAATTCGAGAGGGTAAGTGATGAAAGAGGAAACAAAAGTGGATCTCGTGAGAAAGAGAGTTCTGAATACCAAACACAAAGAGGTTTTGGAGAAAGACAAAATCAGTTTAAGAGGATAAAAGATGATAGAGGTAACAAAACTTTTGAATATGACGATCGGCTCAGAAAAGAGCTACCTGATTATCATACAAGGTTGGATGCACACAAAAATGAAGCATCTTGCAGTACTTCCAGAATATATGAAGATGAAGTTCGCATGCGCAGAAAGTTGGGTGTTAGAGGGCAAGATGGATATTGTTACCAAGCTGGATCGAATGAAGAGGAATATGAAAGACCTCACATTGGATATAGGTTGTCTGAACCGGATCGCATGAGACCACACAGTCAATATAGTGAACAAGAACAAAATGTGTTGCACAGATATGGTGAGCCAGTGAACCAAGATAGGATACAAGGTCAATTGAGGAATGCAGGAGAAAATGATCCTTGTAAATTATTATTGATCCAGGAACATCACCGCTCCAGGGAACAAATATGTGAAAAAACTCTCAGTCCATATGACAGAATTGGAAGACAGGAACATGATTGGTCGATGGAGCGTGCACGTAATATTGTTGGTAGCCAACATAGTGAAAACTGGGAGAAGAATAGTCAGGATAGGTTGAAGGAACATGAATATAGGAATTTACAAAGTCCCAGAAGCAGATATGATGAACAAGAACATTATAGATATGCTAGTTACCGTAGACAAGAACTTGAGAAAAACAACCAGACGAGTGGGCGTGCTTACGTTGTATCACATAGTCAGAATAGATTAGAAGAAAATGCATTTGGGAGATCACAAAGTCCCAGAAGCCGATATGTTGAACAAGAGTATTATAGATCTTCTGGTTATGGTAGACAAGAAAGTGAGAGATTCAGTCAGACAAGTGCACATGGTGATGTTGTATCACATAGTCAGAATAGATTAGAAGAAAATGAATTTGGGAGATTACGAAGTCCCAAAAGACGATATGATGAACAGGATCATTATAGATCTACTGGTTATGGTAGACAGGAAAGTGATAAATTCAGCCAGACAAGTGCACGTGCTGATGTATCACATTGTCAGAACAGATTAGAAGAAAATGCATTTGGGAGATCGCAAAGCCCCAAAAGCCGATATTATGATCAAGAGTATTATAGATCTGCTAGTTATGGTAGACAAGAAAGTGAGAAAAACAGCCAAACAATGGGACGAGCTGACAATGGCTCGTGTAGCCCGCATAGATCACGAATCAGATTCACCGAGAGAAAATATGGTGGACGGAGGGAGCAAGCACGTGATCCATCTGATATCCATTATAGTGACAAAGAATATGAAAGGTTTCATAGTTATTACACTTCAAGGAAACTTTCACACAGATCATGTAGTCCGTTCAGCAGATTTGGTCCACAAGAACGTGATATATCTGATACACATTACGGAAGACAGGGTCCTAAGTTGTATGATGATCGTAAGTCAGGGGAGCATGTCTATGACAGAACACGTAGCCCATGTAGAAGAGTGGGTGATGAAATGCAGGGTAGGTTGCGCAAGAATAAGGCTGGGGAAATGAGACATGACAGATCACGAATCCAGTTCAGTGGATCAGATGAAAGGGACTTCAGAACACACACACAACGTCGTTGGCCAGACATATTGGAAGATGTGCCTCATTAGAAAGAACTCGATAAGCGTAGGTAAATAGTTGAGTAAGACACATGTACCTACTTATTATTAAGTACCTTTGGACAAATGAGAGTTGAAGGAACAACATATTTTTTTAAAAAGAAAAGTTACCAAAGAGCAAAATTATTTATTAGAACATGTATGACATGTGGTATTTATGATTTTGTAACTAAAACGTAAGGTAGATATTGAGAGTCAAAATGCTTTTCTCCATATAAAGAAATGAAGATTTGAAGAGTCAGAGAATTTGAAATGAAATTTGATGAAAAAGTATTGAATATAAAAATGTGGTGTGAAGTTCATTGTTTTTGTCCATTATACTGTAATTAATTTTCATTTAATACTTTAGTATTGTAATGGTAATCAGGTGGATTACAAATGTGATCCTTATTTACCTGATTAAGAATAAATACCAATCTTAAATACTTTGTGGAGGCATTTTTTGAATTTTTTAAAATTAAATGTTGTTGGAAACAACTGTAAAAACTTCCAATTGGCGAGAGACCTGTGAATTGTTTTAATTTTTATCTATTTCCAACTATTCAGTCACAATAAAATCACGAATTGTCATGATGAGAAAGCTAGGATCTTTTAGTCTGTACTATTTGTATTTTCTTCTTTCTTATAATCTTCAAAATTATAATTTTGCCTCAACCATCCTTTACTCGTTTCCTTGTTTTTCATTTGTTTTCCACCCTTACTAGGTTCTTCTCACTTTTTAGGACCTTTAAACATTTTGTATGTAGAATTTGTGAATTTGTGTTCTCCATCTAAGAATGTTCTCTTTTGCAACAAATTTTCTTCTTGCAATGCTAGTTCATAGCCTCTGCTTATTTAACTTAAAAATTCATATGATTTTATTTCTCTCTGTTCGAATTGTAAACTGCTTACTTGTAATCCCTGTACTTGAGCAATATCTTAGCAATGATTTGTACAATCTTACTACTATGCCATTCACTTGCGATTCTCCCTTTACCAGCCTATTCAGAAATATTGATTGAAAAGCTAGGCGCTCTACTGTAGACGTCAAGAAAAACATCTGAATGATATTATAAACATTGATGACTTATTATTGTATTTCAGCCTAAGCCTTTCCTGGCTATATTTCAGTGCTGCATATACCCGGAAAGTACTGCCATCTCTTCAACCCCTTCTTGTCTGGTTGAAGATTGCGTATACATTTGTGCATTTCACCATGTCCAGAAACTGTGAATGACCACTTAATATTTTCAGAATATCAATTCTCACTAGAACCAGATTCCAAGTTACGGGCCAAAAATATCAAAATCACTAGGTACAGTGAAAATGCACGACCGTCCATTTGCTTCACCACCTGGTCTCATCATCATCATCGTCATCATCATCATCATCATCATTTCCATCGTTGCTTACCTTCACTACTATCCCTTTCAATTTCACACCGAAGTTCATAATCATCACCAGCTTTTGGCTGTCCCAGAGGTGCCGCATCCTAGGCACAGGGGACAGTGTTTTAGCCCTGTTCTTTAGTCTCCTTCAGGGTGGCATTTCACCCTGAGGAATGCTGCAGGATGGTGGCCGAAACATTGGCTCCTGTGCCTAGGACAGCCAAGTAGATACTGACTCCAGCCGCGGAAGCCTATGGTTTCATTATCATTCTTTCTGTATCACTTAAGTCGCCGGCATATAATTCTCCCTCAATTTCATCCCCTCTCAATTCTGCCATGATAGCTGTTTACATTTCTAATGTATAAATTGATGGTTCATACTCTTCCTTAATCTAATATACATAATTCTTGCTAACTTCATGGATACGTATTCTATTGTTGAGGTGGCATCATATTGTTCACTAGAACCCGATAGTGGAACATGCTGGAAAATATTGATGTGCGGGAAAGGTGGGCTGTAAGTGGCTAATGTTTTGCAGTGTTAGTTTCTTGTCAGAGGATGCAGATGTTAAAACATTGATGGCACCTCACTAGACTTAATTTGCAAATGTAAGATGCATTTTCAGAGGTATTTAGGGAAATAGCTCATCTTTTATTGAGGTCAATTCAGTATATTTTATTTTTATGTACTTTTGTATTTTTTTTTCTTTTTTTATAATTTTGTGATAACTTTGCAAAGTAATAAAAGTAGTTATCAAAATAGGAAACATAGGATATTTACCCTATATTTACTTTGAATCTATGAATGTCTTCTGTAATTGCTATGGATCTTTCTAAAGAAGACAAAATCTTTTAGAGATTCTTCTGCTTATAATACTGAGAAGTGTTATACCCATAATTGGAATATTAAAATTATCTCATTAAGTGCACTTGCAGGTTAATAGTAAAATGATCATAGCTCAACTGGTTCTGAAGTTTCATGCTGGTTAAAATATTTTTTTAGCACTTTATTTGCTTTAAAATGCCACATTTTTATATTCGATGTATCATACTTTTTTATTGGTATTTTTATTGTTCTATTATTTGTACGTTAAAGTAAATATTATGATAAATTGGCTAATCTAGTAAAGAAGTAGTAACTTAAATTGTTCTCCAGAAATCAAATATGATGTATGTAATTGCCATGGTTATGATGGTAAAATGAGTTATACCAAAATACTAAATCCTAAATTTGTTACCTATTTGAATTAATACTGAAAAATAATTTTCACTAGTATAAAAGATCGTGAATGTTTGTGGGCTTTAATGTTTTTATATTCAAAAAGAGAACTTTATATAATCAAAGAAATTTTGTATTGTGTAAAAGAGTGAGGCGTCTGTAACTCATAATAATGTTACCTGTTTATTTTAATGAGTATTTATTATATAATTGTGTTTTGCATGCGAGTATTACTCAAACGGCACTGTTTGAATACAGAAAAAAGATGGCTAGCCTTTACTAAATTCATTTGTGGACAGACAACTAGTTCATTGGTTTAACAATACTTTTGCTGTTTTGACGTTCTCTCTGTGTGTAGAATGCAGCCTGTATTGATCAAGGACATTATTTTAGTATGAGAGTTGTATTTTCCTCACGTATGTTCTATTTTTTGATTGCATCTAGTTAATTATGATTAGGCAGAAGAGCAGGCTAAATGGCCTGAGCCTCTCCATCAATAAAGACATTTATTTATATTTATTTATTTAATTATATTTACCATTATATTTTATACTAGTGTTTGCAATATTAAGTAAGTTTTATCTGTCATGAAAGCTGTGGACAGTGGGAATTGTGATACTTGTGTATACCTAACGTGTTAATGGATATCGTTTATCTGTGATTAAACAAACTTGTGTCTTTGTTGGTTCCTCTTGTAACTGTGATGTAGTGTAACATTACTTTTGCAGTCTGGGCAAGATAATTGAAACATCACCCAGATTGTTTAAACTTCTACTTCCCTAATAAATATGAGTACTACCTGCCGAAAACCTAGATGGTGCAATTTTAATATGATTTGAAAAAAGAAAAAAAAAACCCTTCTACATCAATAATAATTTTATTAAGTTAATTATATTAGAAAATATTTGCTATTGTTTCCATGAATGACGTTAGTTTTCATGACATTGTTACCGTGCCTACTGTGTCTTTTTGGAGTGATATTTATGTTGTGTAACAGTTCCCAAATTCAATTTTAATGTTTTTTTTTTTTTTTAATGTTTCAATACGTATTTGAAGAACTTTTTCTTGAAATAATGTTATCTGTACTTTCATTTGTTACCTCTTATACATTTTATCATAAAGCTCAAATTGATTGTTTACTGTGAACAGAGCTTATGTAATAGATTATATTGTATGGAATTATATGTATGAATGTACTGTTCCTTAGATGTACGAATATTCTCAGGAACTGAAGAGCATGAGTAGATACCTTGGCCAAAGATTGAAAGTAAGCCCTTCTTGTAATCTTCAGCAGTAAATGTATTTTCACACTAAGTTGTTGATTTTTTACTTTCACACTTTTCCCCAAGTTGTACAGTTTGCAGATTCATTTGGTGGACATGAACTACCTATTACTACAAGAACAGATTTTTTCAATACATCAGAAATTATAAGTTTATTCATTATCATTCTGAGACTAACTTTTTAAAAATGTTTGAAGGATATGCAACTATTTCTTAACCTTTTCAGTACTAACTTTACATTCAAGTCTCAACATTTTGAAATAGGGGAAGAGAGAAAAAAGAAAAAAAACAAACAAACTTTTTGGTATCAGGGAAACCAAAAGGTGTATTTCTGTTGAAATCTCGAAATCGATTTCACGCAGCATTACATAACTTTCTCTGTGCTACGCATATTACTTGGTATATACGTATGTACATGAGAAAATTAAAAAGGACCATCATAACAATTTTTAAATCATTTTCAATGAGTTTACTTCGTCAGAAAAATCCCCATTAAAAATTAATAAACGAGAACAAATTCAAAGGAAGAGGAAGGAAAGATCGCCCTTACCCGTTTGTTAGGGGACTGCTCCGGTATTCGGATGGTGTTGATCGGAGAAACCAAGGAAAACTACCGATCAGAGCAGCCGGCCGCTACAATTCTCCTCCAGGCAGCGACTGAATTCAGCCTCGTGTCGAAAATCCTGCCACCGTTGACGCCCTGAGCCACCTAAGCGGGGAGCTTGTTGGACGTACGCACAATTTAGATCCTAGTGTTTCTTTTACTAACTTTTGGCGTCAACGCTTTTGAGTCTGCGGGAATTAAAATCACGGGTGGTGTAATTACTGAGTGGGGCGGCATTCCCCTCTCTTCCTCTTCATTTCATTTATTCGTGTCCTCTTGAGGGTGCATGTTTGCTTGCGCATTTCAAAACTCGATAATGCATGGAAAAACTGTCTTATACTTTCTCGTTACGCAGTAGCAAAAACGTTATGTAATGCACGAAAAACAAGCTAAATTTCGGCAGAACAATTATTAGAGGGCCCTGGCAACCAAAAAGTGGATAAATCCAGTTCTAAATTTAGAAAAAAATCATCAAACGTAGTGCAACCGGAATTCATTTTGTGAGGGTCCTTGACAGCGAAAAATCGAGCCGGGAAACACCTGTCCGTCCTGTCCGCCCGTTGATATTTACATTGTGTTTTTTTCTTGAAGCTCCCGGACAATTTTGAAATTTCAAAAAAATGGCTTCATCGTTTTTGATTAAATTTTGTTATTGGATAGTGTGAAGGACGTTTAAGGGAATGGTACAGGTCTCATGTTTGTTAAAAACCCTGAGTTTTCGAAAGTTGCAAAAGTTAAAAATGTATTTCGAAGCTTTCTACAACCGAAATATTCGAAATAGATATTTATTCCCATGATGAAATCTGTTCAAGACAGATTTTAAGAATGAGGTGTACAATTTTCCGAAATTTTGAGTACTTTTTGCGTATGTTTGCGTGAAAATAGGGCGAAAGCACGTGCACGACTAGTTTTACATGGCGATGCTGCACGAGAACCCGTCGAGAAAAGCGTCGAATCAAAATTCGCGCCGAAGAGGCGTGGCGGGAGAGCGCGCTGGCGGTGGCGGTCACGTGAAACACTGAATTAACAAGAAACGCGCGGGCTTTGAGCGCCGTTTCGAATCGTACCGGCCGGTCTTTACTCTGTCACATGGTTGATTGTTAGTGATTCCGGTGCGCCAACTACTGCAGGTCATCAGTGCCGGAAGTATAGTGCATGTTTTTTTGCTCTGGAAGTGGCGGTGATCTTCCCCCCTGAATGACGAGATCCGGCGCCGACCTACCGACGGCTAGCGGGGTTTTTCCCAACCAAGAATCTTCCAACAGCGGGGCACCGCCCCTACCGGGACAAGCCCTAAGCTCACAATTGGTCTCTCGGCATGTGCGGAAGTGTAGTGTAAGTAAGGGGTGAGGAAGGGAAGAGTGCGTGCGTTCCGTGGCCCGTTTGTTAGGGCACTGCTCCGGCATTTGCTTGGAGGTGATCGGAGAAACTTAATCATTGGACTAGTGACCTTTGAAGTTGGCATGAGAGTAATTTGAAAGGGGTCCCGTATATTAATTTTTAATTGAAGTTTCACTGACTAAAGAAAGTCAAAAAATCAGGACAAATAACAAAATTGCATTATCTAATTCGATATCTCAAAAATAATATAGGTTTCTTTGTTGACGAAAACTCGATTATATTTATTTTTTATCGTAGATAACTTTGA